TTTCTTGAGTAGGCAATTATTTAAAAAAATAATAAATATGAGCAGCTATGGCGACTTATTGGATGGACATTTCAAAAAAATGTAATTTTTTTATACCCATTTGTAGCAATAAATAACTAAGTCGCAACTCTTTACCAAAAAGGAATCCGCGAAATTAGTTTAATATAAAAATTTTAAAACCATTATTATGTCTTTTGCTTTAATTATTACGATAATACAAAAATAAATAAGTTAAAACCTTTGAAAAATTAACCATAGCATATTTCCTCTTGCTGAGATTAGAGAAAAAAATAGCTATTATCAATGAAAAAAAACTCCTTTTTGTGGACCGTTCGAAAGCATATGACGGTGCCAATCAGAAAACTATGGGAAGTGATGGAAGACACTTCTACCAACATTATATCCACAAGTTATTAAACAACTTTACTCTCGAGAAAATTCACGAAACAACATTGGTGAGTCCCTGTCTGAGCCGTTTGCGGTGACCAATGGTCTACGACAAAATTAAAACAAAAATGGGAAGCACAGGAAAATATCAAAAAAGAAGTTGCAGACCTAACAATGAACCGCAAGAAGGCAATGGGAGAGCTAAAATCCCCATGAAAGACGAAACCGAGGAAGATCTAAATACTCGGGGATATTTGTTAGAAAATGATATTTATTTTGATTTCAGTTAAAAAAAGCGCCACTTTTGGAAGTCCTAAATTCATATTGAATTAAAAAACAGTGTGTATGCGATAATTTGGCTGAACAGGCTGGGCATATTGTTTCACGTCTTCCTCTTTATCATTGCATGTTTAAGCCCATAGAGCATTTGTGGAACGAAGTAAAATCAAAGGTCAGAGCAGAAAATGTTAATCGTACTTTAAATCCCAGTGTTATAAATTTGATAAATTAAGTAATTAACAACATACCAATTGAGAGCTGCAAAAATTCAGTGCAGCACATTATAAAAATAGGTTATTCTTTTATTTCTATACAACTTAACATAAATTCTACAATAATAATACCCTTGAGAGTCCGTCCCTAATGTTCTGTTCTCTTATACCTATCGGACACGAGTTTTTTGCCATCGGCAGGTAAGCACGATGGAGATTGAGGCAGGCTATACCTGCTGTAGGATCATGAACTGTAAATGAAGATATGTGTAGCAAGTTAGAAGCGTTCGAAATGTTAAAAATGTTAAAAATCCCGTGGACTGATTGTGTTACTAATGAAGAAGTACTTCGACGAATGAAAAAAGATCGTGAAATAATCAACACCATCAAAATACGCAAGCTACAGAACTTCGGCCACATAATGAGAAACGAACCTTGCTTCAATCCATCTTGCAGGGACAAATTTTTGGAAAAAGAGGCCCAGGAAGAAGACGAACGTCCTGGTTGAAGAATCTCAGATCCTGGTTTAATAAGACAACACCACAACTTTTCCGTATTGCTGCTGATAAGATAAAAATTGCCGTGATGATCGCCAACATCCGTACCTACCTGCTGAAACAAAAGATCTCTAATTCTGGTTTATCTTGGTAAACTAGACTAAAACTGTTCTTATCTTTGTTAATTTTCAGCGCTTGCAGCAAATCAATCTTTATTCCGAACAAATTAAAAATGTCTAAAAAAAAGCAGTTGTGTTGCCCTATTTACGATTAGTCTACAAAACGTGAACGTTGAATTCGCGGAAAACCGAAAACCCCATTTTTGTACGTAACAAATCGGCTTCGTCGAAATGCCTGCGTCTTATAGTTCACGGTTGCGATCATGACCATTTTCACGGTTAACGCGACAAAATCTCGCATAGTACACGGATAAAAATAAATACGAAACAATTGACCCAGTTTCGCGCATGAAATTGCATTTTGCTTTTGTTTTGGCGAGGTTTTAGGTCTTTCAGCGGTGAGTTTCACTTTTCCGGATCGTTTTTCTGAGCGAGTAAATCGGAACTTTTGTTGCGGCGAGGAAGTGACGGCGGTAACCATGAGTTGAAAGATCTCGGCTGCTTTCTTAACACGTTAATTGCACGAGGCAATTATCCCGACGCGATTGGGTCAAACTTGCGTGCCTCGTTGTCATGTTCCGATATTTCGAAACTTTGCCATTTTCTTTGCTTTTTCTTAAAATTAAACTAACCAAAGTTTGATAAAAAATTCTTTACGTATTAACAAAACAACGTCACCGACGGAAAATTCGCTAAGCTAAGTCACAAAACATGCTTGACTAAAGAGTTCCGACGATAATCCTTGTGGACATTTTGACATGGTGCTGAAAATATGCTGTTCTACTCCTGGCCAATTATCTCTCTAAGACCATGGTCGCAAGTCACTTCGGACATTTCCTGTACTTTGGTCACGTGTTTGGGAGCGATCAGTCACATCACATGTCACTCAAAATCTATTGCGTAACTTTTCTGTCCAAAATATTTTCATCAATGCATGTACAATGCATAATGATGATACCTGTGTACGCCACGTTCTATTTCTGCATCCCGTAACCTTCCAGTTTTTTTCTTGCATCTTTCTGTCGCCTCATCGGCATACATGTTTAGAAGGATTTTTCTCTTCCTGATTCACTGACGTTTTTCCTTTTAGACTGTCATCGTCGATGCCTCACAGCCGCACATACTTATAACCGTTTTACACAGGGTGATCTTGGTTCAACTACTGAATTCTCTTGATCTTATAAGGTCATGTAGGTCATCTGTTTCCCGCTTGTATTCGGTTATCTAGTTCTCGTGATTCGTCGTGACCTTCACATATTGTTGTTTCAAGATGCCTAAGTTCTTTGTCTCTTTCGAAATTGTACTCACCGATGGTGACATTTTGAGAAATCTCTATCTATTGGCCATTTTAGTTCGTGTATCTATTCAATGGTTGAACGCAACGCATGAATTGATAGCCTCCGTTGATTTCTTCGGAATATAGGTTGGTTCTTTTAAGAAAGATATTGGAAAGAAATGTTTACAATGAATTTAATACCTTGATTTCCCCTGTAGTTGATGCATTGATTGGTATCTTCTTTTTTGTGGAATGGCCCAACACATTTCCTTATATTCCTCTGGTAATGTTTCATATTGTCAGAAGTTTCGAATCAGCTTTTATATGGGTGGATATCCTTTACGTTTTAGACTCCCAGCTGTTATGTTACCACCATCAGGGACCCTATTAGTTTTGGGTTTTCTGATGGCACTGTTTACTTCTTCATATGACTGGCATTGGTCTTCTATTTCGGTTCCATGTACATTTATTTTTAAAACGGCAACTGACATGCGAAGCTTGAGAGGATCTAGAATTAGTCATATGAGAAGAAATAACACTGCACCAACATTTAGTGATAGTACCATAAACGTAATTCGCCACGAGGTAAAATATCAGTACAAAGCTGGTCCAACTGTGAAAAATGAGTAATAAAAGAAGAAACTATTTATCGGGCACGATTAGTGGCGGAGTTGATCATTGAACTAGGTGATGACAGTATCGATAGTAACGATTTTTTAAGTGACTGATACTTTAGTATTATTATATTTAATATTTTGTATATTAATAATGAGACTATTTTTTTATGTACATGTTTCAAGAATTGCGATGCGAAAAAGATTGAAAACATTCTTAGTGTCGGTAGATAAATTCCTAGGACGGTCCTGAAATGGTTACAGGTAAAGGCCTGCTCGGCAGGGTGTTCTATAAGGGGCTGCGGTTTTGGAGTAATCAACAGTAGGCAAAGTTAATCACGAGCTCGGTCGTTAAAATAACATTTCTGGTCATGGTATAAGAGTGCGTTGAAAATGTTGGCATTCATATTTCGGAACACTAGTGAGTTTACGAGCGAACATACACTGAAGGCACTCTAATTTAGTTATGTTAGATCTAAGCGGGAGTATGGAGTCATTATATGGCAGCCTATTTACAATAAATATATTATTCGATTAGAAAATGTTCAAAGGAGATTGTTAAAATATCTAGCTTTTAATTCAATTGTTATTTAAATTATGTAAATCTCTTATAGACTGCTCTGAATTGTTATCGCAGATCGCAGAACATCTCCAATATTCCATCCAACGTTCCCCACAAACTTTTTAGTTAATAGTCCACATTTTAAAGCAATGGGTAGTTTTAATTGTATTTGTAGTGATATAGATGTCAATGATCTTACACCGGCTCAGTTTACTTTGGCATTAAAAGATAGATATTTACGTTTCAGGTGATCATTGTTGACTCGGTTTTGAGTTATGTTTTTTTTTGTTTTGGTTATATAAAGTTCTTTATATTGTTGCTTTTGGTACGATTTCGGTATTCGGAATTTTCATTTGACCTGCTAACTATACGAAGCGAATTAATTGTCATGTCATTGAATATTATATCTATTAGACAATAAAGCTTGTTATTATTATTATTATTATAATTATTATTACTGACATATTGATATTGTAAGCCTGTCACACACTGAGTACATAGGTAACTTTTTTTTGCGTAAAAAGTTATTACTATTTTGTAGTAAAAAGTCAAATATCTGTCGTGAAAAGTTTTTAGAAAGATGAATTTATTATTAAAGATAAAGACGCCTGCTCGGTAGCTTGAAAGAGATACCAAATTTCTCTACCTGTTTTGTAATTATTGTAATTTTTTGACAAGTTATTGCTTCCAATTGCGTTAATTAACGCACGAGGTTGCGTTTGGTTGTACAGGGTATACAAATTCAACACTCAGATTTTAGATCATTTTGACAAAACTGGCTACGTTCATTTATCGTCATAAGGGTCTTTATTTTCTGCAATTAAAATTAAACTATTTATTTGTTTTCATAAAATGTAATGGCCGAATACCCGAAAACGAATAAAATTAAGACAGATGCTTATATGATAAAAACAAGAAAAATATGCCCTTCAAACCTAGACAGTAAATTCTGAGACACCCTGTATTGTAAGAGCGCGGCTGTCCCATCTTGAGTGACTGGTTTCATACGACAGGTATAAAGTTAAGCCCGAATATTAACACGTGGTCGAAACGCATTGTTCATGACGAAGTTGTTTCAACGATACGTATCTAAGACTGCGTTGTTGTTTAAAGTTATAGCAAACGCCGACTCTATCAGCTGTTTTAGATGATGACTGTACAACAATCGCAGTAAACAATTTAATTCGAAAAATAGAAGGTAGGGGGCAAGCGACGTTATCAATTTTTAATACCAAATTTACGTATCAGTACGACTGGAGAAGCATTTTGTAGCCCGTTTGTTGTACCTATCTAGCATAGGACTATCGCAAAATGATCCGATCTGTTGTAAGTATTTATTTATAGCGTGTTAGCGAAGTTAATACAATCTAAAATTAAAAAAAGGTACTTATTAATAGACCAATTCATGACGTGCGATTTTTAAATTTGAACAAGGTCGACTTGAAAGGCAAAATCGTAATGTTGGTATCTGCTAAATTACACTCGTCTCGTTTATTATTATTTAGTCATATTTTGGAAAGTTAAACTTTCGCTTTTGCGTTAAACACGAACGGTTTAACAAAAACGATGTCATTTTTTCGGATCTTCTAGTTTTAACAGTGAATTAGGGTTAGTTAGAACACTCATACCAAAAAACGCTCTTACCAAAATAACAGCTAAATTTAGAGAATTCTGTTTATATTTTATGTACAACGTATCACTTGTTAAAAAATTGCGTAATATTTGAGAATATGTTTTTCTTACTGCCGCTTTGAACTAAGTTCGAATTAGAATTGTTTGGCAAAACTTGCACAGGAATTGGGTTTTGTACTCAAGATATACCGGTTCTTATGAATCTCGAAAATATAGTATGGAAGTATGCGTCTCTAAAAGTTACTTAACTATCGATATCCCAATATATAATCCATATAATATTTCTGTTTCAATATACTATTAATAAGACGAACGCAAACTCGAATTTTCGGAGTGAGTAATATATCCAACACTTTAAACTCGTCTCTTGGTCTCGGCCGTTAACTTCTAATTGTACAATGGTAGTTTGCGATAGGAAGAACTTTTTGACAAATTAAATACATCATGGAATGTGTGAAAAAATTCTTCAAAGATTTCAGAAAATGACTCATTAACTTGGTATAGATGTATAGATTTTGTACTAACCATTTATTGTAACACTAATAATAATAGACATTTTATTTTATTAATCCTACAAAGAAATCAGTTTAACAAAAAACTGTAAACATAAATATAACGGAATTAAAAAATTGTTAGTGCAGACCGGTAAAAGTATCAAACACTTGTTATAATTTCTTGAGAAAAGATGACACGTAAATTTAATATTTAAATTAAAAAAAAGAAAAGAAAACAATATTGCCAGAACCTCGCCAAATGACCAACGACTTCATTAATGTGAAAGTATTTCCTAAATGGCTTTTAAACATTTGACAGGATCAAGAAACATTAAATATTTTATATTTATTAACAAGTGAAGCAATTCTGTAAGAAAAACACTTTTTCTAAAGTTCTTTTTTATGACTGTGATGGGGATGTTAATTGAACTGCATGTACGAAATTTAATTATATGATGCAGATACTCAAGTGATTTGTTTTTGAATATTTTATAGAAAAAACAAGCTTCGTGGAGTAAACGAGTAAACGGCCCGTATTCGTTTTATGTCATATACGAGGTGTGTTCAACAAGTAAGGTGACTTGTGTAATTGGGTGGGCTTATGTTGGTACACATGTCCCTCATACAATTTCAGCTAGTTTGCACGTTTACTTTTTTTGTGAGACAGAAACGTTAGACGTGTTTTGTGTGCTCGGTGATCTTCTGCTGTCAAAAAAAATGGAATGAAATTTTCTGTAAAAAATGGAATACAGTTTTGCAAAAAATTGAGATGTTGAGAACGGCATACTTTGAGCAAAAAAAAATGTTTAAAGGTATTACAAGCTATCATTACAATAACTGATGAAGGCGTTCAAGAAATGAAACAAATGGTGTTGAAAAATCGTCGAAACACTATTAGAGAAGTAGCTGAAGACGTCGACATGTCTATTGGCTCGTGCCATGCAAGTTTTTCCGAAGTTTTGGGCATGAAACGTGTAGCACCAAAAATTTGTTCCGAAAAAAGCACGTCAAATTCGATCAGTTAACAAGATTTTGATTACTATTTTCTTTGATTGTCATAGCGTAGCACATCAAGAGTTCTTACCGCAAGATCGTACGGTTTATAAAGAGTATTACGTTGAAATTATGTGCCGTTTATATATGAAGAAAACATACGAAATTGTGGGAAAAGAATTCATGGATTTCGCATCACGATAATGCACCTCCTTACTCATCGTTGCGTGTGTTTGTGGCCAAAAATAAAAACACAATCATGCCTCAGCTACCACATTCACCGGATATGGCCCCCTGCGATTTTTTACTGTTCCCAAAACTCAAGAAACCCATGAAAGGAAGGAGGTCTGGAACTATCGAGGAGATAAAGAAAAAATCGCTGGAAGAATTCAAGGCTATCCCAGAAAGTGTTTACCAACAGTGCTTCGAGGATTGGAAAAAACGTTGGCCTAAGTGTATTATATCTGGGGGATTACTAATTTTGATGAATAAATAAATACTTTTTGATAAAACTTCACCTTGTCATCTAACATTTTGAACACACCTTGTATAAATCTCAAAGGCCCATTTTTAAATTATTGTTTACGCCTAAAATTGTAAGAATCGTTACAGATTTCATATAAATTGTTACACAAAATAAGGTATGACAAAAGAAAGATTCATCTAATCCCAGTCTGGGCAACTGGAGAAATTGTGCAAAACATATTTTCGAAAATGTTATATGTCTAAGATTATGTATCTAAATTCAAAAATACATAGTAACTTACAATAATCAAATCAATCAATAATCATAGGACAATTGCGCATAGAAGTATATATCCAACTCAGAACAGAACTAGTATAGTCTTCAATAATCTTGTTCATTTAGCAACCAAATGTTTGAATAGTTTAAGTGATAACACTAGGCTTACGAATTCTTTGTTGGTTTGTTGGAAATTGTTACAAGAAAAACAGAGTTATCAAGCACTGATTTGTGTCAGCAAGTAAATATAATATTTTGTTTATTTTTATTTAATAAAGTTGTTTAAAAAAATAGCACCTGAGTGAGTATAAATATTAGTGGCAAAGAGTAATAGCGAATAATAGCGTAATCTTGAAAACTTTATTTATGACGTTAATCTTGAACTATTTTTTTTAAGTATCTGATAGGTAGAAATGGCAATAACCCTGATCAAAATCGATCAATATGCTTACGTTTTTAGACTTCCCCCTTAGCAGCCGTTCTTAAGAGGAGTTACTCAAATGTTGCGCCTACCACAAAATTATTTATCGATGGGGAATTCGTCGACTCAAAAGCGACGGAATGGGTGGATCTGCACGATCCAGCTACCAACAACCTAATCACCAGAATACCGCTAACTACTCGAGAAGAGATGGAAGCCGCCGTGGAGTCGGCCAAAAAGGCATATCATTCCTGGAAAAATACGTCGGTACTGACTAGGCAGCAGCTGATGTTGAAATTTCAAGCGGCGATAAGAAGAGATATGAAGAAAATAGCGGCCAACATCACATTGGAGCAAGGAAAAACGCTAGCAGATGCCGACGGAGACGTTATGCGAGGAATACGTAAGTGTGGAGATACGAATTTCTTGTTTCGTTATATTACTGACTGTAAAATCGAACTTTTCGAAAGGATCTACACTCGTATACAATTTCTTTCTAATTTGGCATTTAAAGTTAAAAATATAAGTGAATAAACTAATTACAAAAAGGTATACTTTTCACTGCTGGTGATGAAAAGTAAATTTGAACTAGTTATTTATTGTAATGGAATATTTTTTAAACAAATTTAAATTTGTTGATAAACGCTATAGATAGTAATAACACAATTTGAATAATTGGTCATATTGACCCTGGCTGACAATATACTTTTCTGGTCTTTATTCAAAATGGATTCTTCCATACTATTCAATTTTGAGCCAATTAGCCCCAAAATCAACGGTTTTTGGCTTCTAGAGAGATAACTTTTGAACAGTTGTACCTGGGGGATTAAGATTAAGATTAAGAACAGTTAACGGAGTACAGAGTTAATATAAAATGGCAGCTATCCAACGCCATCATCCATCTTTTCCTCACTTTTTTATCTCTTTTTCGGTCATCATTGGTTTAAAATTTTGCACCCCGATAAAAATACTTTGTATTCTATAACCACAGCACGTTGAAGGAAATGAGTCAAAAATTGGTAACTACAAAAAGAATCTCTAAAACAACTAAGAGGTAATGAACCCGAGGAATTTAGAACTTGACTTTATTTTTCACAAAACTCGATGACTTTTATCTGTCAAAAAACTGCTTCCCTATGTATTCTAATACACATATTTGTCGACAGGCTTTGACTGTGACGGATAAAACCTTTAGATAAACTTTTATATGAGTGGCCCGCTGTTGTAACTGGGAGATTGTTGGTAGGAAAGTATTTTTTTCTACTCCCGCCTTTAAAATATCTAATTACACACCGATCTAGCGTGCGGGAAGCGTCACTTTACCACGCAGTTTCGTTTCCCACGAATCCGAGCCACTTCGGACATTTCCGGGATTTTACAGCACGGATTTGGGAGCAATCGGATGTTTTCGCAGATATTTCGCACGCTTTGAATTTAACGTTTGTCAATTCTGACGGTTAAGTCAGTGAATGTATATGTGTTGTTTTGCGAAAATATACCCAAAACCTAACGGTCGTAGAAAAAGTATAGTATGCAACACGTTCGGTAAAATTTTTAACTCACTCGTTTATTAAAAACTCGCTCCGCTCGTGTCAAATAAACTCGTGAGTCAAATGCCGTTTACCGCACTTGTTGCCTAATATACTATTCAACATTCATAAACTACAGCGGAGCAAGCAAAAAATTCTTGAACGATAAGACGCGCGAGATACAGGACCACGAACTTTTAAACATACGGGCCATGCCATATTCGCAAAAATCTGTAATTTGAGTTCTTATTTTAATGAAAATCATATCATCAAAGCTGAATCACTTTTCGCATATTGTACACGGTGCGTGAGATATTAGGAGCTATGGTAAAAAACAAAACATCCGAAATTTGCAACGACTCGAAATTTGGCAGGCGGGTAAAACTAGTAACTCGTAAATTCTGGGAAATTTAAAAAAAATATATTTTTTCAAAAACCTACTCGGTTGAAAAATTTCTTAAAGCAGAAAACGCGTGTGGACGGGGGCTAGAACTTTTATTTTAGTGATTTTTTGGGTGTGTTGGTTATGGCGAATTGCCTAAAAATTGCCTTTTTCGTAAATGAAAAACTGCTAAAAATCGGAAAATTAGTATTAAACAGTATATATGGTTTTCCTCGTACAGGGTAAATGACTGTTACTAAGACAAATCTTTGTGTTTACATGACTTGGAAGTTAAACAACTTTATTACGATTTTAAATATAACATCCTAAATAAACACTAAATAAAGTGAATATGTATGTTTTAATTTATATTTTAGGTAAAATTGTTATGCACTTATTTGACTACCTAATGATGTAAAAAAGTTTTCACTCTTAGTATGGTTAATATTAGAAAATTTTGTATAAACCCGGTTTTAAAACTCGAAAGTAACTTTCAGCGTGTTCTCTTGGCCGATTTACTGAATAAGTTCGTAGTCGATACTTGGACATCTTTTCACACCTTTGTGCAAAATTTTTCTTTTGCAGAGGTTGTCGACCATGCTTGTGCTGCCGGAACCCTTCTTCAAGGCGAATCTTTGCAAAGCATTTCCAAAGACATGGACATTGTCTCCTACAAAGTTCCACTGGGAGTCACGGCGGGTATTAGTCCTTTTAATTTTCCGGCCATGGTGCCCTTATGGATGGTGCCGATGGCGCTCATAGCCGGAAACACCATCATCATTAAACCATCTGAAAGAGATCCCGGAGCAACCATTTTGCTCATGGAACTGTTGAATGAAGTCGGATGTCCTCCGGGTGTTGTAAACGTGAGTATTGGTAACTGCTAAAGTCTGATATCCTGATTGCAATAAAATTAACCTGATATAAGTAGCTGCAAATCTATAAAGATGATTTCTATCTGTATGCAGATGTTCATAGATATTTTTATTGCAAAAAATATACATGGTTACTATCTTTGAAACAGTGCTGAACTCATAAACAGAATAATACCACAACTAATACCACTGATTATGCTAAAACTTAGCGTTAGCGATACACATATCAGAAATCTCACGTTCCTTATCCACCAGACAAAGTTCAAATAACAATTATAATACTATTTATTACAAATTCCACTTAATCACAATACTATTTACAAATCTACTGGATTTCTCCTGTGTCAGGTGTTGATGAACTGAACTTGCAGACGTTTCGTCAATCATTCTGTTGGCTTTATCAGAGCTTAACAGAAACTAGCTCGCATTCTACTCTGTACCTGGTTATATAATATTTGAGGGGGCGTAGTTAAAGGAGGGGATGACCATGGTGGTGAAAGACTTGAACAAGGAAAACTGATGGTATATAGAAAACCTACGTACACAGACCGATACCTTAATGCATTGTCACATTACCATCCAGCCTAAAAATCATCGGTTATCAACTCTCTCGTTTAATAGAGTGGAAAATTATCTCAACCAGAGTCTCTGACCTCAAAATTAAAACACCTTACATCTGCACTTGTCCCTAATAATTTCCACATTGGAGATATTAAGCATTGTAAAATACATTTCACCACAACCCTTGCAATCAAAACATCACTGACCACATATCAAAAGTTCTGAAGAAACGTCAAAACAATATATAACGTCAAAACACCACCACCGTTTGTCTAAACATCTCTCAACATCTTCGATCCATCAAAGACAAAACTCCCTTTGAGATACCAGGAGCTTAGAGCATTCCATGCATATGCGGCAAAGAATACATTTGGAGAGACCGGGCGAAAAATATCTACTAGGCTCAAAGAACAGGAAAGAGCCTTAAGATTACGAGAAATAAAGTCATCAGCAGTTGCAAAACACAATCACGAAGCCGGACATCAAATTTTATTCTTTAAAACTAAAATTCTTGAATGTAATCCATTCGTCTAAAAAGGAAAGATACTAAAATCTACAGAAATATATGCATAAGCAACCAAACAATCTTAAGAGCGAGTCATCGTCAAACAATCAATAAGCAGATACATGCGAGCCAGGGTCAGTTAAGCTCTGAAGAAGGCAACAGGACAATTGGCGAAACGTTAGCAAGTTTGACTCAGCAACAACCGGCGTAGGAAGAATCCAGAACATTTGCAAATAGTATTACAGTAGTCTGTGGAAGTTTCCTTGAAAAATTAACTTAATCTTACAACTATAAATATACTTTATACAAAATATGACATAAACTCCATATAGCATACTAAACAACTAGCACCTTATTATTGAAAAAGTCATCAACTAGATAGATAACAAAGCCGCCTAATTTGTAAACAGAAATAATGCAGTAAAGAATTCAGAAATATTTCCTGAGAAAGGAATCAAATTTCAAAAAAAGTTTTCTGTTGTATAAAATAATAATTTATAATATAAGTTTATATCAAATATACTAAATTATATTATATTAAATATCTAAAAACGAAAACAAGTTTAGCACTAGTGCATTGTTCTGCCACTTAAATATGAAAATTATAATTTTGGAAGTTTATCAGTTATGATTGTATGAGAAGGTTTCATTTAATTTGTATTACTTTTAACACTTAAGTCGCCGACCATTTTTGAAATCGACTTTACGAATCCAAGATCTCAATACCAGTTTGTAGGTAATTCACGGAACCCACGACGCAGTCAACTTCATTTGCGACCACAAAGACATCAAAGCCATAAGTTTCGTAGGTGGAGATAAAGCCGGGAAGCATATCTACCAGAGAGGAGCAGCGAGTGGGAAACGTATCCAGTCAAATATGGGCGCAAAGAACCACGCCATAGTCTTGTCGGACGCAGATAAAAATTCAGCATTGGATCAAATTGTTGGGGCCGCGTTTGGGGCAGCTGGACAAAGGTAAGTTTAGGACAGCGTATTATAACCAATCTTTTATTCGCCCAGCTTTCAGGTGTATGGCTTTAAGTGTGGTTATTTTGGTGGGCGAGAGTCAAAAATGGATACCGGATTTAGTTGAGAAAGCGAAAAGGTTGAAAGTGAGCGCCGGTCACGAACCTGGCACCGATGTCGGCCCTGTGATTTCACCCCAAGCTAAAGCGAAAATTTTGCACCTAATCGAACAAGGAATAAAGCAGGTAAAAATGTCTTATCTGATTCTATAAAACCTTCATTCTGTTGTAGTCAGTATCGATACCAATGAGTTGTATGAATAATACCAAAGTTTCAACTCTTAGCTTTCTCTATTTCAGAAGCATCGCTGTTCATTTTCCTTATGTTTGGTATTTTTAACCTGAAGGCTACTCATAGGCCAAACGTACATTGTTTTTATATAAAAAATATATGTATAATATGTAAGTTTTGTAAAATGTATTACAGTAGCCCGTGGAAGTTTCTTTAAAAAATTTATAATGTTATGAAATCAGCCATAGCTTTGCCGAAGTCAAACTGAAGTTAGACAACCTCCTATCAGACTTCAAAATTATGGAGGAGATCCTTACTTTGAAAAGCATAGCATAGGAAAATGAGAATTTACCTATAACAAATGATATCTAAGAGACTCAAATATTTGATCTACATTAATTATATACTCAATCTACTCAAACCAAGAGTTTAATTGAAATTTCATTCAAATACTTATCGCAAACTTAAGGAAATCTTAAGAAAATAATGTCAAAAATAAGTTTTTACTTTTGCTTGCAAATGTTAGAGAAATATATCATACACTGATGATCCATATATAGTACACTTGTTCGACCCTTTTTGACCCACCACTTTTGTGAACACCTCTAAAATAAAATCAAATTATAAAAAAAAAATCTGTTAAACATTGCAAAAAAAAAATAAAAATACAAAAACCATAGTGGAGTATTGATCCTGGAGGCGAAAAAGTAAGCATTACTGCTGATTTACTTATAACTAAAATTAACTGAAAAATTTTAATGTATATAATTTAAATTCTATTTAAGCTTTTTTATAATATCTGTTCCACTTAAAAAATCTTGACATGATTGGGTAAAATTATGTTTGATCCGAAATTAGTCTCTAATGTTTTTACATTTCTCTGTTTACTTTTGCGTTAATGTTGCAGGATTGGTTATAAAGTAATAATTATTCAAAACAGTTTATTTAAGGGCGCCGGACCCGGGAAGTTCAGCAAAAGTAGCGGGACAATCCTGTCTAAAACGGGAGGGTTTGCAACCTTAATCTGCACTATGGTTTCCGCGGTTATAACTTGGAACTTAACTTATTTATCCAACTCATTGCTTTCGTTCTTCGCAGGGTGCCAAATGCCCATTGGACGGACGTAACATCAGAGTGGAAAAATACCCCAACGGTAACTTCGTCGGGCCTACAATCCTAACGAACGTCCTACGTACCAACGATTGCTACAAAGAAGAAATCTTCGGCCCGGTGTTGTCGGTGATGTCGGCCGATAACCTCGAAGACGCGATAGAAATCATAAACTCAAATCCGTACGGAAACGGGACCGCGATTTTCACGACAAGCGGCAACTTTGCGAGACAGTTTGTCAACGAAGTCGACGCGGGACAAGTGGGAGTGAACGTGCCCATTCCGGTGCCATTGCCGATGTTTAGCTTTACGGGATCCAGGGGTAGTTTCCACGGCGATTTGCACTTTTACGGAAAGCAGGGTTTGAATTTTTACACGGAAACGAAAACGATCACGTCGCTCTGGAGAAAGGGACAAGTTGCTAGTCGGCCGTCGGTTGCAATGCCTGTTCATAATTAAACTAATTCGCAAAGATAGTTAGTTGTTATCCTATTATACAAAATTGCATATTTGGTTTGCAAATATATTTGTTACTCTCACCCAATGACGAATATGGCAATGAACATGGACTTTTCGAGTGGACGGATGGACTACGCGGCGCCCTTTTACGATGCCTTGAAAAGAGCGGTTACCCCCGCCGTGGGTATATGTTCCACTCCTTGGCGTTCCAGAGGGGGAAAATGAAGTAACGGCGAATAATATAGATCATCCTATTGCTTTCACACCGCTGCTACCTCGGCATATCGATTTTACTGAGAGAAGGCCATTACAGTAGAGATATGTATGCTTGGGGACAATCCCACTCCTCTCCCTTTTGTGGGCGTGTCCTCCTTCCCCACGACTCTTTGGCTCCTCCCCCTTTACCCATAATCCCTTGAAACTGGCCCCCATTGGATAAGCAACAAGAAATGCGGTTTAATCAATCTCCCCACCTCTAGTTCGCGATGGCGGCGAAGCCAATCAGAGCCCAGATATTTTCCCACCCCTAAGAAAAGCAATGGCGTCAATGAGACTTGATCATATTGTTCGCGTGACCATCTGCACCCTCTAGCGGTTCGAATGTAAACTAGTGTCCCCTCTTGGAATAAGATTTTCTTTAATAAGGTAACCCACCTAGTGAATATTGACCATAACATTTATTTTAAAAACATATAGTTCTGCGAATGTGTACCCTCGCGGGTACAAACTGTACTTTTATTGCGCACAAAGGACAGGGGAAATAAAGACGAAAAGTATTGGATTTCTTTTCTCGGAACTGGAAGCTGGCAGGCACCACCAATAATATCTGCAAAACAAAAAGCTGGTTAAAATTTTCATTAATAAAGTAGGATATTAGAAACCATATACATTATTAATTTACTAAGCCATCTACCGTGCGTTAACTTCATACATATTTCCGCATGCTTCTGTTTTAAGGTATCGTGAGATATTTGACTATTTATCTGGGAAAAGTTCATATGTCGAAAATATTATGTGTATGTGGCCGTGGTAGGCTTTCTTTGCTATTATAATTTTATTTTTATTATTTAATATTTAGAAAATTAATTTATCTATCTTATTGATGATTTTGATTTTCTTTGCTATTTTATTATTTGTTTTTATTATTTAATATTTTCAAAATTAATTTATCTATCTTATTGATGATTTTAAGATATCGCAGTCAACTTTACTATTTCATCAATTTCTTTTATTTATTGCTGATCTTTGAGGATAGTGTACATACTTTTTTTTTCGTAACTTATCTGTATCTACCCTTTAATTTCCTATCAAGCCATAAAGCAAACTCCAAAGGCATCTTAACTAAAAAGTCATATACTTTAAAGCTGCTGCTACTACTACATGAAAGTGTGTTTCTATGGCAATTTCAACAACAATGAAATCTGGACGCTTATACTAAATACTGTAATACTCTTCTCTGCTAACGCTCTAGGAGACGCTAGTTGAACCCTGTTCAAAGAAAAACTTCTACAGCCCAAATAACCTCTCTGAACCACACTTAAGCACATCACTCTTTCACTGTCTTGCAGCCTTTAGATTAATATTCCGTACTAACTACGAATGCCATACACGAAACGTTCTCTTTCTAATTTTTTTCTATGCGCTACATTAACGAACAGGATCTAAACTTTTCTGTCTGTGTATTTTGTTAGCCACCTTAAAAAAAAATAAAAAAAGGTATGCGAACCTAGAGGATATTTTCCATATTTTTCACAAATGGTGACAACAATGCAAGTATTATTTTTAATAATAATCCATCTTTCGCTATGACACGAAAACATCGATTTTTTAATTCTAACTTTTCTCATAGAGCTTCCCTTTAGTCTCTATCTGTTCTTTAACTAAATCCCCGCCTTTTTGAAAAACCAACCTCTAAAAATAGTTAATTTTCTCTAATTTAAATTTGTACGTTTTACGCAATATGTGTGAATATTTTTGCTAGAGCATTTAGTTACTTAGTACATGTCCTAATCAATATTTTAAAAATATGATTCTAATGATACGTGTTTACGATTTGAAGATAACGAAACATTCCCCAGTTTTATAAATGAGAGCTCACCGCCAAACTACCAAACATCACAGTACAAGCTACCGTACTACGCCCCCCTGGACAAAATCAGGTTAGTCAGCGTCATTAATTCTACCTGCGTTAACGAATAGCGTATTTTTAATTAAGGTTTAATACGCAGAAAGTTTAAGTAACAAATAATTGCAATGAAACTCACTAACATCATAAATTATTTTAAAAAAATTAGAACAGTTGGAATTTACTGGAGTAACCAATTTGGCACTAAAAATGGAAATTTTCGATACTCTACTAGGTGCCTACAATAAATTTTACTATTATTTTTAATGCAGAGACACAACGATTTTCTAGTTCTGAATTTGATCAGGGGTATATGACCATAGTTTACGCCGACTCTAAAAGGCATGCAGTCTATTGTTTTTGAACGCCCCATTTTGTGTATTATGTTCAAAACAGAGACTCTCTGGGCTTACGACTACAGCTACCAGCTACTACTTTCAATAATATTAACACAAAAAAAGTAGGTGGCATTTCTATAATACGTGCAAAGTTTATGTGAAACTGACTGGAAGACAGAGTAATGCACCAATATGTTACTAAACATATTTCGATAGAATTCCGTAAGAGCTTACCTCCAAGTTTCCTCATTTAGTCAGTCAAAGCATCAAATGGGAAATTCCAATCCAACATATGTAGTGGTGGAAATATATTAATCGCCTACGTTACCGATGGTACCCGACTGAAGCTTCTGCGTCTTCTTTACCCCACATGCCTACTTAAAAAGATACTGGTCTAAGTCTCAATATTCCTGTTAAAAAAAAGAGAGGTTCTATATTGCCATAAATATGTGTTTTCAAAATTTTACCTGAATGGTTCGTGATTCCTTATATATGCAGTGTTGGCAGCAATGTGGCGACGACTACGCTGAAACTTTGCATATCTCGTGTCCCCATGACTGGTCTGTTTCATATATTAAACCTCACCTCGCACGGGTTTGAACCTCCTTTAAAAAAAAAACAGGCAGACTTATACTTATCATATCAAAGTAATACGAGGAACTTATATTTTATGCCAAAACTTATTTCATCACCTCCAAAGGGGAGTAGGGGTTTCTAAAGTATGGTAGGTACATCTCTTTCATTTTTTAATTAAAAAAGTGACACAATTACGCGACGTAACTCGATCCGGATCGTTAACGCGTCTCAAGATGGGGGTTTAGAGATGCTGAGGTCATTAAATTGATTCACTAATACCAGTACACACTGAAACCCCTTATTTCCAAAATAAAAAATTGTTAACTGTTAACACAACAAAAAAACTATTTTCTCACCAATTATATTTCTGGGTCGTTTTCAGAATTTGTCCAACGTAGAATCCCAAGAGGATAGGGCCGCAATTTCGAAAAATGTTCATGTCTCCCCACTATGCATTTGTACAAGAAGCAGGGCCGGATTAACACCAATTATATTCTTGTCAGTCAACATACAGCCGCCGATTGAATTCTCGGATTCTGCTTTACTAGTTGCCATGGTCTATCAAATATGTTACTTAAAAATTGTATAGTTTTTTTACAAATAATATACCTTTCCTAAAATAATTCCGCCTTTGTCAAGTTGGACACGGGCACGTCTGTCCGCTTTGAAAAGCGCAGGCGTATGTATCTTCCAAAATGATCCAAGCAGGCTCGGATTGGCAGCAAATACACAACTCGCCGATTCAATTCTGAGATGTTGCTTCACGAGTTACCATGATCTGTCAAATATTTCAATTAAAAAAAATCTATTATTTAGCAACAATATACCTTTTTAAAAATAATTTCGTCTTTTTTCAAGTTCAACAGGACACGTGTGTTCGTTTCAGTTGGACAAGGGCACGTCTGTCCGCTTTGAAAAGCGCGGCGTATGTATCTTCCAAAATGATCCAAATTGTTAACCTTTTTTTTGATTCCTCATTCCCCGATTCAATTCTGAGATGTTGCTTCACGAGTTACCATGATCTGTCAAATATTTTAATTAAAAAAATCTATTATTTAGCAACAATATACCTTTTTAAAAATAATTTCGTTTTTTTCAAGTTCAACAGGACACGTGTGTTCGTTTCGAAAGGTTTCGTAGTCTGTAGCTCTGTCGAATTCTCCAAAATTCGTTAAACCTTCAGATATTTTCAAAATTTGTCCAACGCAGACTTCCACTCACGCAGTTTCGAAAACTTTCTGGTCTCCCCGCCATGCATTTGTACACGAAGCCGTTCTGGACTATCAGCAAACAGCACATCCGTCATTTTTCTTCTCGGATTCCGCTTGACGAGTTTCATCGATCTGTCAAATATTTAATGTAAAACATTCTTATCTATTACTTTTACCCAATATTAAGTACCTATTCAAAATTAGTAGTGCCTTTTCGAGTTCGAAAGGTTTCGTAGCCTATAGCCCTGCCGAAATGACATTGCATTTGTACACGAAGCAGGGTCGGATTGTAAGCAAACAGCACCCCCCGGTCACTTTTCTTCTCGGATCCTGCTTGACGAGTTACATCGATCTGTGGAATATTTAGCGAAAAAAAAACATTATCTATTACTTTTACCAAAAATGAAGTACCTTTTTTCTTTAAAACAGTTCGTCCTTTTCGAGTTTGAAAGGTTTCGTAGCCTATAGCCCTGCCGAAATGTCATTGCATTTGTACACGAAGCAGGGTCGGATTGTCAGCAAACACCACATGCGTCACTTTTCTTCTCGGTTTCTGCTTGACGAATTACATCGATCGGTCAAATATTTAATATAAAAAATATCTATTTTACCAAAAATACGTACTCTTCTAAGATAAATTAGCTCTTTTCGAGTTCAAGAGGACGCGTATGTCAACTGTAGGATGTTTTATTATTATATTTTCCAGTGTCTATAAATTAATAAACAACAGAAGTTTCCGAATACAAAAATTTCAACATGAGTTTTTTTTTTCTTGAAACTTAATAGTTCTAACCCCTAAAACCATATTTTTAATACGCCGGCGGACGTATAACAATCCCCAAAAATTACCATATTTAAATTGTTACTATTGACATATTTCGATTCCGAACTTAACTCAATACATGCAAAAAAAAAACTAGCGATGGGTGGATGATTGAGAAACGTTTAAATAAATCTACCTTTCTGTCTCTCTTTTTCTATATAGGTCACTCATTCTCTCTATCTGTTACTTTCCACAATCCGAATTTACACTTGACCCCCCAAAAATCTTGTAAAATTTTATCTGCTTAACTTCTTCGCGTTGTTCATATGGCTGAATTTTTTGGGAGATATATAGTGCGTTATTTCTATTAAAATTCTGTTTCCTTTTTACCTACTTCAAAAACGTAAGCGAACATTTTTGGTTGTTTTATTAAACAAAAATTGATACTAAACAAGATCCGTATCTCCGACCTCAGCCTCCTTTGATCACTCCCCAATTTTTTTTTTAATTAAGTATAGAAACCTCGTCGAACATATACATAATACTAGGTCAAAATGTTACGCGGTTACTCATTAAAGTCGCAATTCCGAAAGCTTCTTACCTATCTTTTTCCAGTCTTTTTTGTTTTATTTATCCGTATATGAAACACACATTGAACACAAAACTTAAACTCGTTGGCGATATTGCATTAAGCAACAAACGCGTATAACAGAAACGAACCCTTAACACAAACGCTTCTTTAAACTTCGACTGACACGTGAAACAACCCGCATTCCTACGAAAGGCAGGTAAACCAAGCAGGTCAAATTTTAAGCTACCCTCCAGTGTCGTCGTAGGTTGGGGCATAGTAAATAGCGAATACAACAAAGCGGTAATTTATAATAATTTAATTTGCATCTTATTTAACTTAAGTTGTTTTGTAGAAAATGAGACATTTCTACAATTAATCAATATACTACGAGTACTTTTCCGCTTAATTACTATTTTTGAGAAACAAAAGGAAACGTTAGATTCCATTCAAACTTTTTCGGTTTTCATGATATCTCGCGTTTATTTAGAAGCTAATGGCCTGTGGCCTTAACCAGACGTTTCCAAAGCCTGGTTTGATATTATGTATATAAATCTTAACAAACACGAAAAATAGAGTTATATTGCCACCGAAAATTTTGAAAACACATATTTATGGCAATATAGAACCTCTCTTTTTTTTAACAGGAATATTGAGACTTAGACCAGTATCTTTTTAAGTAGGCATGTGGGGTAAAGAAGACGCAGAAGCTTCAGTCGGGTACCATCGGTAACGTAGGCGATTAATATATTTCCACCACTACATATGTTGGATTGGAATTTCCCATTTGATGCTTTGACTGACTAAATGAGGAAACTTGGAGGTAAGCTCTTACGGAATTCTATCGAAATATGTTTAGTAACATATTGGTGCATTACTCTGTCTTCCAGTCAGTTTCACATAAACTTTGCACGTATTATAGAAATGCCACCTACTTTTTTTGTGTTAATATTATTGAAAGTAGTAGCTGGTAGCTGTAGTCGTAAGCCCAGAGAGTCTCTGTTTTGAACATAATACACAAAATGGGGCGTTCAAAAACAATAGACTGCATGCCTTTTAGAGTCGGCGTAAACTATGGTCATATACCCCTGATCAAATTCAGAACTAGAAAATCGTTGTGTCTCTGCATTAAAAATAATAGTAAAATTTATTGTAGGCACCTAGTAGAGTATCGAAAATTTCCATTTTTAGTGCCAAATTGGTTACTCCAGTAAATTCCAACTGTTCTAATTTTTTTAAAATAATTTATGATGTTAGTGAGTTTCATTGCAATTATTTGTTACTTAAACTTTCTGCGTATTAAACCTTAATTAAAAATACGCTATTCGTTAACGCAGGTAGAATTAATGACGCTGACTAACCTGATTTTGTCCAGGGGGGCGTAGTACGGTAGCTTGTACTGTGATGTTTGGTAGTTTGGCGGTGAGCTCTCATTTATAAAACTGGGGAATGTTTCGTTATCTTCAAATCGTAAACACGTATCATTAGAATCATATTTTTAAAATATTGATTAGGACATGTACTAAGTAACTAAATGCTCTAGCAAAAATATTCACACATATTGCGTAAAACGTACAAATTTAAATTAGAGAAAATTAACTATTTTTAGAGGTTGGTTTTTCAAAAAGGCGGGGATTTAGTTAAAGAACAGATAGAGACTAAAGGGAAGCTCTATGAGAAAAGTTAGAATTAAAAAATCGATGTTTTCGTGTCATAGCGAAAGATGGATTATTATTAAAAATAATACTTGCATTGTTGTCACCATTTGTGAAAAATATGGAAAATATCCTCTAGGTTCGCATACCTTTTTTTATTTTTTTTTAAGGTGGCTAACAAAATACACAGACAGAAAAGTTTAGATCCTGTTCGTTAATGTAGCGCATAGAAAAAAATTAGAAAGAGAACGTTTCGTGTATGGCATTCGTAGTTAGTACGGAATATTAATCTAAAGGCTGCAAGACAGTGAAAGAGTGATGTGCTTAAGTGTGGTTCAGAGAGGTTATTTGGGCTGTAGAAGTTTTTCTTTGAACAGGGTTCAACTAGCGTCTCCTAGAGCGTTAGCAGAGAAGAGTATTACAGTATTTAGTATAAGCGTCCAGATTTCATTGTTGTTGAAATTGCCATAGAAACACACTTTCATGTAGTAGTAGCAGCAGCTTTAAAGTATATGACTTTTTAGTTAAGATGCCTTTGGAGTTTGCTTTATGGCTTGATAGGAAATTAAAGGGTAGATACAGATAAGTTACGAAAAAAAAAGTATGTACACTATCCTCAAAGATCAGCAATAAATAAAAGAAATTGATGAAATAGTAAAGTTGACTGCGATATCTTAAAATCATCAATAAGATAGATAAATTAATTTTGAAAATATTAAATAATAAAAACAAATAATAAAATAGCAAAGAAAATCAAAATCATCAATAAGATAGATAAATTAATTTTCTAAATATTAAATAATAAAAATAAAATTATAATAGCAAAGAAAGCCTACCACGGCCACATACACATAATATTTTCGACATATGAACTTTTCCCAGATAAATAGTCAAATATCTCACGATACCTTAAAACAGAAGCATGCGGAAATATGTATGAAGTTAACGCACGGTAGATGGCTTAGTAAATTAATAATGTATATGGTTTCTAATATCCTACTTTATTAATGAAAATTTTAACCAGCTTTTTGTTTTGCAGATATTATTGGTGGTGCCTGCCAGCTTCCAGTTCCGAGAAAAGAAATCCAATACTTTTCGTCTTTATTTCCCCTGTCCTTTGTGCGCAATAAAAGTACAGTTTGTACCCGCGAGGGTACACATTCGCAGAACTATATGTTTTTAAAATAAATGTTATGGTCAATATTCACTAGGTGGGTTACCTTATTAAAGAAAATCTTATTCCAAGAGGGGACACTAGTTTACATTCGAACCGCTAGAGGGTGCAGATGGTCACGCGAACAATATGATCAAGTCTCATTGACGCCATTGCTTTTCTTAGGGGTGGGAAAATATCTGGGCTCTGATTGGCTTCGCCGCCATCGCGAACTAGAGGTGGGGAGATTGATTAAACCGCATTTCTTGTTGCTTATCCAATGGGGGCCAGTTTCAAGGGATTATGGGTAAAGGGGGAGGAGCCAAAGAGTCGTGGGGAAGGAGGACACGCCCACAAAAGGGAGAGGAGTGGGATTGTCCCCAAGCATACATATCTCTACTCATTACATCGCATTAAACGTCTGAGGCCTGATCAATCGGCCGAGCTGAACAGATCTGTGGGTGAGAGAATACCTGCCAACCCGGATATAGGCAATCTCAGTGATAATCTCTATGAGCAAATTTCACCAGAATCCGTGCTTGAAAATGAGGGATTTAGGATATATTGGGACAGAACTATCCAGACCGATCGCACTGTCCAGCATAACAGGCCAGATATTCTTATTTATGACAAGGCAAATAAGGTGGTGACCCTCGTTGACGTTGCAATTCCCGCACCTAACAACTTGCAGAAGAAAGAACGTGAAAAAAGAGAAAAATGCATACCGTTAGCGGATGACATAAAACAGACATGGCGTGTCGATAGGGTTAACATTGTTCCTATAGTGATCGGTGCAATGGGAGAAATACCAAAGTCCCTCAAAACCAACCTGACAACACTCACCGTAAAACCAGGCGCCTACTTTGAAATGCAGAAGTCTGTGGTACTAGCTACCTGCAACATAATTAGAAGAGTTCTTAATCAACCTCAACTTCAATAACGCACATTTCATGTTTTGCTACTCACCTAGCCGACATAAGAGGACTCCATCTTCCGATGAGGAAAATAATAATAATAATAATAATAATAATAGACTTTAGATTTTAGACTTTATTGGCCATTAAATACATTACAAGAACAACAAATGGCAAGTCACATCTGTGAATGAAAATGAATTAACAGAATACCAAACACATTCTAATAACATTCATAGAGAGAAACATAATTATCAGATAGACAAACACCAAACATTGAAACAAAAATTAGGTAAAAAAAAAGTAAATAAATAAATAAATAAATTCCCAGATAGTATTATGGAGACACTCGTGAAGCAACACGGATGTACCCATCTGCAGTATAGAATGCGTTCTCCAATAGAAATTGTCTTATTACCTTACAAAATTTAGTGAATGGCAGATGCTTGACAACGGTTGGTAGAACATTGTAGTAATTAATGTACAATTTATTTAACTCGGATGTGCGCAGCCTAGAATGGCCCTGGACAATTAATTCAGATCCCCTGGTGTAGTGATTGTGGCGGTCACAGTGCTTAGGCATATCGTTTTTTAGCTCATGTATGCGAGTGATTGTATAGTAAATAAATAGTGATGGTAACGTCAAAATATTAAGCTTTGAGAAGAACTACTGAATCTTCCATTCACTTCGACACACTGAAGTCTACCCCAAGGTAAGAGCGCAATAATTGTGAGGCATGCCCCTGATGCCATACCACTCGAGCTTCTGCATCAGCACTCCATGATCCACACAATCAAAAGCCTTCGTGAGATCACAAAAGGTGGCCTCCGCTATTTCACCAGCGTCAAAGCCTTCGCCAATGCTCCCCACAAGACTTAGCAAAATATGCGTGGTGGACCTTCCGCCCCGAAACCCGAACTGTTCTTTCCACAAGAGTTTGTGTTTTTCAGAATATTTCAGCAAACGATCTTTTAAGATTATTTCGACGATCTTACCCATTATAGGGATGATTGCAATAGGTCTATAATTTAATAATAATTTTTAGTAATAATAATAATAATAATAATAATAATAATAATAATAATAATAATAATAATAATAATAATAATAGAATAGAATAGAATAGAATAGAATAGAACTTAATTAATCATTCAGATAAGTCACAAGAACAACAAATGGTACGTCAAGAGTATGGCAATTACATTGGTAATCGCAGTGGGAAAATATATAAAAAAAACATTAATAAAGTACACACAAATTGCACTAAATTATACAAAATACTTCAAGATAATAGACAAGATGTAAATAATACATAAAGTGAAAAGTAAACATATAGATAACAAAGTCACAAATTATTAAATATTCGTATGCTTAAGCAGCTCAAGATATTCATCGGTGCCATAAAAGGGATTGTCTGGTTGGTAGATTTTTAAGGCTGCTCGGCAGAACATTGTATAATTTAACATTGATTTTATTAGTTTGCGAGGACGTCAGTCTGGAGTACGGTAGGGCGATCGAATCACCTTGCCTGGTGTTATACTCATGTCTGCTAGTTAGTGTGCGATAAGAATCAGCATTATCATGAATGTATAAAACAGATCTGGAGATGTAGGTAGAGGGCAGCGTCATAATCTTCATATCCGCGAAGATGGGTCTGCAGTGTTCACGCGGACCAGCGCCGCTAAGTAGCCGCATGGCCTGCTTTTGCAAACGAAAAGCTTTTTCCGAGTATTTTACCCCACCCCACAACACAACACCGTAAGACAACCCACTAACAGTGGCTGAGATGCCGTAACAGGAACAAACGCCGGGACAGTGTGGCGCAGACTTCGTCGATTTGGCCGGTCCATGACGGATTTCTGTCAATAACAAATCCCAGTAGAGTAATATTGTCTTGATGAAGAAAGTCTACTTTGCTACAAGAGAAAGTGAGTTCTTGAGTTTTTTGTTGGTTAAGGACTAGATTGTTTGCAGAGAACCACTGCTGAAGGGCCCTCACAGTCTCATCAACGTTTTCAGTAAACATTTTATGATTCCTAGCCTTTGAAAGAACGGCAGTGTCATCTGCGAACAGAGTCATTACATTGGGTATGGACAGCGGCAGATAATTTATGTAAATAATGAAGAGCAGAGGCTCCAGTACCGAGCCCTGAGGCATGCCGGAAACTACTGGGAGAACGCTATCGCTTGACACGCGGCTACTCTCAACGTACTGAAACCTGCTGTCTAGATATGACTCTATTAATTGTAGAGGGATACCCCTGACGCCGTAAAACTCTAATTTATTCAATAGTACGACGTGGTCAACACAGTCAAAAGCCTTTGTAAGATCATACAACAGGGCCTTCGAAATCTCACCATCATCATACCCCTGGACCACAGTGCTCACAAATTCTATGAGCGCATGGGTTGTGGATTTCTTTTCACGAAAGCCGAACTGTGAATCGCTCAGAAGTTTGTGGTTATCAAAAAATCGTGAAAGGCGGGTTTTTAAGGCTTTTTCGATCACTTTTCCAAAGATAGGGATGATTGCAATGGACCTAAAGTTATTCGGAATCTGATTGTCTCCTTTTTTATAAACAGAAATTATTTTAGATAGTTTCAGCTGCGATTGAAATTCGCCACTTGAGAACACTGCATTAGTTAAAGCCGTCAGAGGGTCCACGATGTGCTCTATGGTGTGTTTCAGTATTTTTGAATTTATGCCGAAGCAGTCAGTGGAATTTGAATTGCTCAGACTCATGACAGTTTCATGTATTTCGCTTTCTAAAACCGGACTCAAAAAGAAAGATTTACTGGTAGAGAATTTCTTTAAATACCCATAGGGATCATTGGATTTTCTAATAGTTGAGATTAGATCCTCGACCACCTTGGAGAAAAAGAGGTTGAACTCATTGGGCGTGATCGAGTTGGGCGTGACTCTGGATGATCGATTGGTTTCATGATTGATTAAGGCCCAACAGCTTTTGCTCATGTTGGTAGATTTGGATATAAAGCCCGAATAGGCCTTTGATTTAGTTTCTTTAATTAGTTTTTTATAGTTAGCATTCGCCTGTCTGTACTTTGTCCATGTGTCGGGTGTGGAGTATATTCGACATTTAGTTTTTAGGAACAGCACATGATCCATCTTATTTCTGAGGTTACGGTCGAACCAGGATACCGGGGGCCGAAAGGAATTGTTTGGCTCGACAACTTTAAAATGCTGTTCAATGTTCGCGGTGTAGACGAGGAGCATATTGTTTGTTAAGATTGATGGGTCTTCGTTCATGTCCAACAAAGGTTCCCAATTGGTAGCTTCAAAGCTCGCGGATAGATCATTTAAACCGGTCCGTGTAATTGGTCTAAATCGAGTGGGATTTTCAACTGCGGGACAAGAGTCTGAATGTAGTTTAAAAAACACTGCTGAATGGTCAGAGATTGCTGGATCCACACTGCCAGCAGTAAATAAAGTTGGAGAAATATTGAAAAGAAAATTGTCAATGCAACTTGACGTGGTTTCAGTTACTCGGGTGTGGTCACTGATTGTAGGAGAGATACCAAAGGTAGCTAGTAGGATGACAAAATCAACCGTTAAAACGTCAGTAGTCAAGTTGAATTTGATATTAAAATCACCTGTGATGATGAGTTTTCTTTTTAGAGAGTAGAAATCTCTTAGGAGAAGCTCCAGTCTAGACATAAACAAGTAAGGATCGCCGTGGCTCCCCGATGATGATGATGATGATGACACATGGATGATAACAATCTTTTGGCTGAAGAGCAGAAGGGGTGCAGGCGGTATGCACAGGGGTGTAAGGAACAACTTGCAATTGACAACGTTGTCACCCGCAACGCAATAGCTTCCAAGGAGAATCTCTTTGCACACTTGGCTGCTACAGTGCCTCTCTGTCTATAAAGTCGACCCCAAAATCATCAACTTTCTCACACATGCTATGGACCAGTGGGAGACACAAATAATTCCGAGAGACCAGGGGGCGCAAAAAAGCCGATCAGCATAAAGATCCAACGAGGTATTTTCCAGGGCGATGCTCTGAGTGCCCTCTGGTTCTGCATAGCGTTAAACCCACTCTTCTCCGCTCTCAATAATCTCAAACAAGGATATCCACTTCGTAAAGAACTTAAGCTCTCCTACATAATGTACATGGACGACCTCAAGATATTCTCGAACACCGAGAAGGGACTAAAACGGCAGCTCAGATGCGTCGAGAACTTTTCAAATGATATTCGAATGAGGTTCGGTCTGGAGAAGTGTAAAATTGGCAGACTTCATAGAGGAGAGTGGCGTCAGATGGACGGCCATCAGCTTACACAACATAGTGGTGGTGGAAAAATAACGACGCTGGATAAATTTGAAACCTATAAATACCTAGGTCTTGCCCAGGCGCGAGGAATAGACTCTATAAGTGTCAAGACGCTGCTCACCGAGAGATTTAAAGAGAGAGTCAAGCACATCTTAAAAACAAGATTGGCAGGCCGTAACATGGCGACTGCAATCAATTCCTACGCCGTCCCTGCAGTGGCGTACAGCTTCGGCATCGTCGATTGGACGTCGACCGAGCTTGATGATCTGAATAGAACCTTAAGGACAAGTCTAACTAAATTCCGCGCTCACCACCCACGAGCTGGCAGAGAGAGGGTACATCTACCTCGAAACATCGGAGGCAGGGGATTCTCGGATTTGCGAATATGCCACAAGACCCAGGTGGAGCGACTGCAGAAATACTTCCATCAAAAAAGCGAGAGCTCAGCGCTCCACCGAGCAGTGACAGGTCTAGATAGATCACTTACACCCCTCATGTTGCAGGTCACACACTATCAGTGCGACCCTAAGTATTCAATTTTCGAGCTCGAGAACCAGTGGCGGGGAAAGGAACTACACGGCAGATACCCAAACTTGCTTGATAGTGCTGACCTTGACAAGCCCGCATCAGTTGGCTGGCTAACGAACGGCAACCTTTTCCCCGAGACTGAGGGTTTCATGTGTGCAATTCAGGATCAGGTCATACCCACTCGGTCTTATCTTAAACACATAATCAAGGACCCGACAGTAACAACAACGAATTGTCGCATATGTGGAGAGGGCCATGAGAGTGTTGAGCATCTCATCAGTGGGTGCCGGATACTGGCTCCGAAGGACAACGTAGCCAAGATAGTCCATCAGGAAATAGCCTTCAACCTTAATCTTCTAAAAGAGAAGTGTCCGCACTACCGATACTCACCAGAATCCGTGCTTGAAAATGAGGGATTTAGGATATATTGGGACAGAACTATTCAGACCGATCGCACTGTCCAGCATGACAGGCCAGATATTCTTATTTATGACAAGGCAAATAAGGTGGTGACCCTCGTCGACGTTGCAATTCCCGCACCTAACAACCTGCAGAAGAAAGAACGTGAAAAAAGAGAAAAATACATACAGTTGGCGGATGACATAAAACAGACATGGCGTGTCGATAGGGTTAACATTGTTCCTATAGTGATCGGTGCAATGGGAGAAATACCAAAGTCCCTCAAAACCAACCTGACAACACTCACCGTAAAACCAGGGGCCTACTTTGAAATGCAGAAGTCTGTGGTACTAGCTACCTGCAACATAATTAGAAGAGTTCTTAATCAACCTCAACTTCAATAGCGCACATTTCATGTTTTGCTACTCACCTAGCCGACATGAGAGGACTCCATCTTCCGATGAGAAAATAATAATAATAATAATAATATTAATATAATAATAATAATAATAATAATAATAATAATAATAATAATAATAATAATCACGGTAATAATCGATATTGCTGGTGTCTCATCGTCTACTTCGGAAACACGGCTGTACCGACCACTGACTCACTTCGTGGCTTGAAGAGCTCTCCGGTCGTATTTAAACCAGGACGTCGTTTTATGAAGTCGGAGTCATAGAGCGGCCTTTCTGGAATATATCAATAATAATAATAATAATAATATTATTATTAAAATAATGGGGAATGAGGGAATTATGTGCTCTCATCACGGTAGACGTCGAAAACTCCTTCAACACGGCACCATGGTGTGGTATATTGGAAGAACTTCGAAATCGAAACATAGCCCCTTATCTGTATAACATGATAGCAAGCTACTTCGAAGATAGGTGTTTAAGCATAGGTGAGGCAGTGCAAAAAGACGTCACATGCGGGGTCACGCAGGAATCAGTAATAGGTCCAACTCTATGGAACGTGAATTACAACGGTGTGTTCCCGTTCCAAATGTCGGATCGTCGGTAGTCCCTTGTCGGATATGCTGACGATTTAGCTATCTTAGGAGAAGTAAAGGGACTTGAGATGATGGAAAGAGTAGCCAATCATGTCCTTCACAATGTTACGGAATGGATGAAATCTCAAAACCTGAAATTGGCCCCCCAAAAAACAGAGGCAGTCCTACTTGTTGCTGAAAGAAAGGTTAAAAGCATTTCAGCAGCATAACTCAAAGTCAGGAAGTAGTCAGATATCTAGGTATAAAACTAGATAGGAACATGTCCATGGGGGCCCACGTCAGAGTCGTAACAGAAAAAGTCAACAAAGCCTTGAAAATATCAGTCTCCTTTTACCAAAAGTGAATGGACCTCGTGAAAACAGCAAGAGGATATTATGCTTCGTAGTGACTTCAATATAAAAGGATACTGAGTAGCGTTCAAAGAAGGGTAGACATAAGTCTCCGGAGCATACAGAACAACCTACAACACGGCACTTATGGTGATAGCTAGGATCCCACCTATTATAGAGAAAGATGGACCAGAGGCTAAAAAGGAAGCACAAAACACAATGATGTTAAGCTGGCAAGAGGAATGGGACAGAGATTATGGTACAGCGGAATGGAGTAAAAAGCTAATCGCAAATATAAGACCCTGGTTTGAGAGACGACACGGTGAAGTAGATTTCTTTCTGACACAAATACTCACCGGGCACTCTCTGGGAATATGTTGCTTGACGTTATCCATTTCATCGTAGCTGGGGCGTCGACATATTCGCTGCTAAGGAGGTGGTTCTCTTCGTTTTGGTGTTTTTTAAAGATTTTTCGGGACTTTTCTCTCCCCTTCGCACTGTGTTGCGGCCTTTGTACCTTGGTTAGTATTCCAATCCCGTGTTTCAGTACGGCAATTTGTTTTTGTAAGCGAATCTCCCATCCGGGTTTGCTGCCTGTAATCCCAGACGATTTCACAGGCTTCAGTCTTCAATTGTGCAGCTGGAAAGTCGCCATTGCAGCCGAGTAAACTAGGTCATGCAGATGCATGATGTCCTCGCACCAATGAGCCTCACCCTTGAGTACACCGTTAATAGAGACAAGAATCTTCTTTGTATCCTTGTTCGTCCTTAGCCTTGGGATTGACGGTCTTGACAGTGGGTGTATACCAGAATACCTCTGAATATTTTCTTGAAGAGCATCGTAGGTTAATCGGTCTTCTGGTGAGACAATCTGTACTGGCTTCACATATTCTACGTCATCATCAGTTCGTGGTATTCGCGCCTGCATTGCTAGTTGTGTAGCCACTTCAGCACGTCTATTTTGTATAATTCGTGGTAAAAGGCGATTCTTTTCACAGTGCAGTCTGTGCGCGAAAGGGGCTTTGTTGGTCTGCATTTCTGTAATTAGCAAGTATGTCCGATAAAGGTAGATATTCATGTCCTGAGACCATTTAAATCGGGTTTTCTTGCTGGTTGTCGGGTCCTCGTCGAAGGGTGACGCTCGGGCTTCCACAACTTTGTCGAGATTACTGGGATTGTCGAGGTGTTGGATTCCAGTTTCTTGCGCGGTGGGTTCCGGTACCAAGGAGGTGCCACCTTGTACACCCTGGCTTGGCCCAGGCCGGAGATTATCAAGGCAGTTCTGAACAGAAGGGACCTGGTCTTCTGCCACGCCCGAGTATAGCTTGTGTTTAGTTCTGACAGCGCGTGATCATACTGGTCGGGGCGCTAACCCTCTCGGCGGTTTACAGCTCGCGTTAGAGTTGCCTCCTGTCCCTCCACCGGGGTTACCCGATCTCGGAAAAGGCAGCAAGTTTCCATGCCACACACGGAGGTGCTAGTCGGATTTTGGGACCTTTATTATTATTATTATTATTATTATTATATTTTTTTATAGAGAATTAGGAATCTGCTAATTAATCAGACATCCGGGCTTGGCTTATGGCGATCTTGTTGGCCCGGATAGTATCGGGTTGGTGCTTCTACCGGAAGTCACCGACCGACTAAACCCTTCCCTCTTTTACCCTTTTGACTTCTTGAAACTGCTGACGGGCATTACTTCAATCATTAGTGCCGTGTTGGAGATTGTTCTGTATGTTCCGGAGACTCTTATGTGCAATACAAGATCAAATCATCCCTACAAAATCTTACCTGAAATACATCGTTAAGGACGAAAGAATAACCGATACACGAAAACATATAAAATATAAAACGCCATACTATCAGCCACAAACAATACTAGAAGACGTGCATTACAGGGTCTACTGGGACAGACAAATACAAACAGATAGGCCGGTACAACGCAACAGACCAAACATCATGATATATAACAAAGACCAACGAAATGATGATGGACATTTCCGTACCCTCCCCCACTAACATTGACAAGAAGTATCAGCAGAAAGTTGACAAATACATAACGCTCGCTCAGGACATGAAGCAGACCTGGGCCGCAGAGAAAATCAAGACTATTCCCATTAAAATTGGAGTGACGGGCGAAAGCCCAACGAAGCTGGCACGGAATCTGGAAGCCATCGAACTGCAGAAGGCCCTTTCTACGCAACTCCAGAAAGCAGTCATCCTAGTAACCTGCAACATAATGCGAAAGGTGCTAAACCAAAAAATCACAATAGAACATTAAACGCAAAACTCCAGTGTTTTGTGACAACACTTCACCGACACTGGAATCTCGACTCGTACTCTGCGTCAATTAAAAAAAAATAATAATAATAATATTTTGACACAGAAAATTGCAAGAAAAGGCAAGAGTGCAGCGCCCAGACGTATCTGTTTGCTAATTTCTACACTTATCCTGACGAAAACAGAAGACGGATCACAAAATGCCCATACATTTTAAATTAAAATTTTATATTCGTTACCTATATATCGAAAAAAAAACTTAAAACTGCCTCTCTAGCAAAGCTAACAGCTAAAAATGCTACTACACTTTTTACATTTTTGAAAGTAACTTTTTTAGCTTTTGGTTTGTTAGGAAAGCAATTTATCGTCGCGTTCTGAAGGTCATTATGTAATTTTGCCAAGTCGTAACTGAAGGATATGTCAAATATACCAGATCAGTAACGAGGAATAATGACTTTTTTAAATCTTAAATTTAAATTGTCTGTCCTAAAAGTTATTTCTTCTGAGAAGTATTCAGGGTATTTTGTTTTAATGATTTTGAGCAGCGGTGTAGTGTCATCAAAGAGATGTACGCCACTGAGTTTTTTGCAATTTTTGTTATTTATTTTGAATAAGCCACTAAAAGTACAATTTAAGTACAATAAAAAAAAAGTCAAAATGAAAGTGTAACTAAATGAACCCCAGCGTTAACGCATCATTTTTGGAACACCCTGTATATACAATTACAATGTTTTCCGGCAATTACTATTTTTTGTTCTTTTAGTATTTTATTGTTTGTAATGTTTTTTTCTGCAACATTTTTAAGCAACGTTACTTCTCGTAATGAAGGTATTATTATTATTATTATTATTAAAATAAAACACATCTTCAAGGTATAAGTATTTTATTAAATGGGTTCGCAAATATATTAAATTAATAAATATAAACAATATATACAAAACACCTTAATATAAGGTTTAATTATAATTATATTTTGTACTACACAACTCGAAAGACATTTCTTATTTACATCGAGAATGAAATATAGTGGTAACTTCATATGATGCCTATTAACTAGAGGCTATAAATACATAAACTAAAACTAAAATAAACTTATGTTGGGAATGCGTCGCCAAATGACCTATTTGATCATTAATTTAACGTTCCACGGATGTGGATGAATGAACGAATGAATCAACAATCATTTTGAGCATTCGGAAATATCACATTATTTCATAGTAATTACAAACTAGGATGGCAGTGAAAAATATAATCAACAGATTAAAAAATAACAAAAAGAGACATATAACAATCAATAGTCAATAATTGTTGTCGAAATACTTTGTAGGCAATAACCAACTGATATAAGAAAAATACTATAAATTCAATACATAATTTACGAAAAACCCAAAAATAAATATATATTTATAAATATTTGTGCGGTAACATTTTCTTAATAAAAGCACTATTAAAAATATTGTTCGCCATACATAGGAGGTTTTCTTCTAACCGTAATCACGCAGCATTTTGGTCGTATCTCGTAAAGTGGTTAACACGAATCCCAGAAAAACACTTACAAATGTTGCTGAGTTTTGCTTTACACTATACGTAATAACAGTTTTCAATTTATCCGCTTAGCAGAAAAACCAAAGAAAATTACACTCGATGCGCTTAAATTGTACCTATTAAGTAAAATAGATAAAATCACATTTCTTTGGCTAACATTGAAATAATTTTAGCTACGCCAAGAATCACATTTACTACACATCCGACGGATGCTTAACCACATTGTTCTTTTGATACGCCACTGACATACCGTGGGTCTTTGTTGGTGTGTTTCCCGGAGTCTGCTGAGAATCCAGACTGCTATTGTAATGACACCTTAACGTTTCGAGGTAAGCGGTCCTGAAACCAACACAATTATCGTTTTCGGGTTAATTTGATGTAAAAATTATCTTTTCTGATAAAAATTATAGTTCGCCCGTAAACATTCTACCAAACTATTTCAAAAAATTTGAACATAATATGCAAATTTGCTTGATGATTTCGTAAACCAACCAACTTATTTTATTGTTCTCTTCAGCTAGATAAAAACGCTAAATAAAATATTCAAATTTTGACAATTGGCTTGACGAAAATATTTGAATCTGCAACCTGTTGCAAATAATATTATAGGAACTAAAAATAGTAATTAGTAAATACTTTGAATATTCTTACGTAATGTCAAAAATCGTTTATTAAACAAATGTTGAACAAAGTTGTTAAAAGTAAAAAGAGATCTTTGTATAAGGTTGAATATTTGATAAGGTTTAATATTTTGAAATATTATAATAAAAAGTTTTTCCATAGCAAAAATGCTATGACAGCGAAATGTAGCCTAAAATAAAACAATCGAGCAACTACAGAAACGTCAATATTGAGGGTTGGTGCGAGTTTCGAAATCAATTTTTAATAGTCTTATGATACCTATTATCGTTGTTATTGTAATACAAATAAATTCATGTCAATACAACGCTTTTTAAAAAAAATACTAATAATAAAAAAAAACAAATCAAAAAGACGGCATATTATTTCCAACAACAAAAAAAAATTAAAAAAATGAAATTTTTATACCGTAACAATCCCAAAATTTTTAAATTTGACTTATTTTCATTTTTTATTATAGTTTTTTGTCCATCTGAGTGATTTTCGGCCAATATTAATGCATTTTTAACAAAATTGGTTCCATTCTTGAAAACTGAACAAATTTCCACTTGCTACTATTTCCAAATCTACAACTTTATATAAAGTAACCCTTTTTGAATAATCAATACCATAAAATTATAAAAATGGGATATTCCCAATTTTGGCATAAGGCTATGAGACGGAGACGTCGATATATATATTTGGATCTCTAAAAGATCACTTTTGATATAAACTAATAAACGGTCCACCCGGTACATGGGACAACCAAAACTAAACATTTAGGTTAATTGGCATTGTCATTGTGCTTTTTCGTGCCCCTGTTATCTGCTCGACTAATTTCTGAATTTTGCTATTGAACGTATTAAGAAAAATTCATTTCATTTTTTGTTTTCCACTAAAATCTATATAAAACCTGCAAATTATTAATGGACGAACACACAAAAGCTTCCACCCCGTCTAGTAAATTAAACTAAAAACCGCTAAATGCTACATCGATAATAAAGGGTCTCTTTAAAAAAATATTTTTACCTGTATTGTTTGTTCATCGTCACGTACACCACTGGATTAACACAACTGGACAAATATATCGCCAAATATCCCAAAACGTGTAGAGGCGGGTGTTTCACTTCGCTGTCATACACTTTCACTATGGTAATCGGGAGGTAACAGAATACGAAGCACTTGAATATCACGAGCACCATCTTGGTGATTTTCATTTCGCTTCTTTTGAATTTTCCCCCGTTCGTGGTGTGCTGCGCTAACCGCTTGTGAGAGTTTCTTACGACCCAGTATATGCTGGAGTAACATATCACTATAACGACGGACGGCAGTGCGAAACCGGTCACGAATAGGGCTACTTTGGGTGAATTTCCTGCGAAAAAATTATAAAATACGTGGCAGAAACCAACAGTTGAAACACCGACTATACAGGCTAATTCCAAATGAAAACACACCTCTTAACTGAGGATACTCAAGAGAAAATTGAGAAACATTTCCACTTTACAAAAAAAAAATAGATACAAAATGATGATATTTATATTTATTACTTTGTTTAAAATACTAAGCTAACATTTATTCGTTTTGAACTGCTTAACCGTGTTTAAATATTTATTATTGCCACTTAATTTTTCATTAAATATAAAGATTAATGACTATCTCTGTCAATAATCAATTTTTTTTTTGATTTAGTGAACTGGTGAGAACCTTTTGAAAAATAAATACAACATCCTCTTTTATAGAAATGAATTAATTAGTCTTGATTTGTTGACTAAAGCTAATTTGAGAAAATAAGCGATCATAATCAAACGCGATCAATTGAACACGGGAAAAACTTAATACTTCACAAAATTCAACTATATTTAGTTTTTTTCCCTTAATCATATTTTACGTTGGGATACAAATATTAAGATGCGGTTATCACTGAATTGTTACACTCTTTTTTGGCTATAGTAATGTAACAAATCAGTTAGTTTCCTTTATTTTTATTCGGATTTTTTTTTCTAATCGCAATCGCCTCACTCATAGCACCAGTGAGAGCCTTGGACATCGACAGTTCTTCCCGAAAATGTTCGAATGTTCCACAACTTTCCTTGCCGAGATAGAGCAAAGAGCATTAATCAAAAAAGCTTGGATTTTGCCTGAGTTTTAAAACTGTACGTACTCTAATGGTTAATTTTAGCAAATTTGGTGGAAACCGGAATTTAGATATCATGATCATTTAGGAAACTCGAAAATAATTTCCAGCCTTTCCTTATGGTCTTTTTTTATATTTCTATTACCATCCGCTTTCCTAATACATCTTACTGGATTGACCTGTACAATCGTTACTAAGTTTGAGTATTAATTATTTTGAAGAAAATTGAGAAATTGTCATAGTTGCACCAATTTGAACAGCAGTAAAAGTTAAAAAGTGACCTCTTACTTAAAACTTGATTTATAAAGGACGCTAGGTGCAACCATGTATATCAGTAAAGCAGAGCGTATTTCCTTATCTGTAAAAAAACTATAATCTGAGTATTTCAAAAACCAAATAGCATGCCCGCGGATAGTTCTTACCATTTTTATCGGGGTTTATCGAGCATGTCCCGAGCTTTTCGTCCATACCGAACTCGCCCCATTTTCCTAGCAGCGTGGGTATCATCAGCCCATAAACGAACACCCAAATAAGGGCGATATAAATCGCCACCTTGGTTTTGGTGTAAATTTTCTGATACAGGTGAGGCCAGGCTATAAGGATATACCTGAAATAATACGCAAAGCATTCAGTTACTGATGACGAAATAATTTTCTTGAAGGAAAATATTTGACCAGTAATGCGGTAGGAGTTGGAAGGCAGATTTTAGATTTTAGAATGTACGATTTATCTGCTATCACCGTTATGGTGAAAACCAGATGACACAACAAAAAATTTCATCACATTTTCATAAAATAAAACAACTTTTAAAAAACATTGGTCATGACGTCAGCGCTGATATCGAAATTTTCACACAAGAACAAGCACACTTATATGCGTAATATTAGTTATTCTTTTTCGACGAGCCAATCATTACTGACTGTTTCTATGCTATAAACTAGCAATAAAACAAGTTTAGTAATACTTCAAAAGACTCGAAATAACTTTATCCTCTTTTCCATTACATTACAAAACCAAGATATTTTAACATTATCTGTACAAAACATGGTTCTAAACTGAATCTGCTTTTCTATCTCCCATTAGTTCACTGCTATCACTATTTTTCCAGCTTATATCTTACTCTACCTACATTTCCCCACTATCACACCGAACGTATTTTTTAATTTTTCTTTTTGTATTGCATGGTAAATTTGATACTGAATTTTGCAGCAGCTATATTTCTGAGGAAATATTAAAAATTAGACAGGAAGCAGTTTTTTTTGTTACGCTTGAGGATCAGGAATGGCTTTTATGGTAAAATTTCTTATTTTGACATATTTTATCGAATTTCATTTACGCGACTGAAGTCTATGCATTAAAAGTAAGAAACAATTTCGTTCCATTTTTGATATGTTTTCCAATTTCTCAAATAGATTTTTTTAATTATTTTTTTAAATTTTTTGAGATCGAAAGATTTTTTTTTAATGTTTGAAACATATCTTAGATATTCGTAACGATATAAAAAATCTGAAAAACATTTTTTTTAAACTTAACCTGTGGCAATATTTCCACTGTAATTTTTCATCCGCTTACCTGTTAATTGAAATGGCGGCCACGCTTAACAACGAGACTCCGATGCTACCGTAGCGTAAGGTGGGAATCATCTTGCAAAGGGTTTCGCCGTGTATCCACGTGCCGTGGAAAAATTGACTCGCTGAAAACGGCAGCACGAGGAAGCAGAACAGCAAATCGGATATGCAGAGACTGGAGAAAAAATATCTGGATAAGAATAAACATGTGTATGATAGTATAAATGAATCTGCATAACGGATATGTAATTGGTGGGACAGTATCTACATTTTATTGAATATGAAAACGGCTGAAATATGATATGCCTTTATTTTTATAGATTCAGAAATTATTGATGGAAGTACATATAACTATATCAATAAATCATTAACAAAATGAGAAATCAGCAAAAGTTACATTAAAATTGAAAGGCTCAAACGATTGCACGAAAACAAAATTTAACTAAATAGCTATATTGTAGAACTATTTAATGCAGACCTTATATGCTTAGTTATTTGTTTTTAATTAAACACATTTGGAGCTACTATGGATTTGTCAAACACTTTAGAGGCGTTGCGGAAAGAGGATCTCTCGCGGTGTGGAGAAGAGCACCCGCGAGAGATTATAAACGTAGAAACGTAGAACGTAGAACCCGCGCCCCTTGAAGAATTCTGAGATAAACGAATACTATATATAGACAATAGCAAAATAGAATGTCAAAGTACAATATCTCAATTATTTCGAACAATTTTAACGGGCATAGAATCTAAACACTTATATATTAAAAATACTTTCAAGTATATGTGTTCCGTAAAAGCAGTTCAACTTAAAAATATGTATTTTTGTATAATGGTTTTCCAATTTTACTTTCACGTTACCAATTTATTGATCCAAAATAGAAAATAATTCAAGAAATGCGCCATGTTTATAATATCAAAAACGTCTCTTAAGAAAATCAAATATATTAATAGGAGTTCAGAAAAGCACCTGAGTAATAATTTTGTATAGTGGATTTTACAAAGTCTTGCAAACTTAACAATAATTCGAAGACTAATTAATTAGTTGTATTTTTAAGTAAACATTTTAATTTAATTTTCGAATGATCAATGAATATCGTTCTTTAATGGCTAAGTTTAAACAAATGAAAACAAAAATTCACTATTTTTCCAATTAAATAGATTATCGAAATAATTATCTAAATTTATAAAGAAAAAATAAAGTAAGGCGCTTTTGTTAACTAATTAATCAAAACGAATATTACAAAAACCAACTTTTAATCCTCTTTACTTTTTTTTGTATAAATACGCAATGATTGTTAAATTGTAATTCCTGGCGTTGACTGTCAAATGAATATTATTTAAAATGTAAGATATAAAGTAAGTAACGCACTTTTAAAGATATTAAAGCACATTTCGCTATAGAAAAATACAATGTTGTTCTCAATTAAATAAAAACTTTCCCCGCACTTTATTTTAGCAGGTAGGGCTGGTAATATTTCTTTTTTGTCGCAAATGACTTTATCGTCAGCTATTCTTAGTAAAATGTAATGCCTTTTTTCCCTATAACCCGCATGATAATCCTTATTGGTTGTCAAAATTGCCTTGAAATATATCTACCTCAACAAGATATAACGTAATCATTTTTCCACCAGGTATTGGAGATGCGTCACTACATCGCGATCGACAACTATTAGTCACGAACGTGTTAAGCAAGTCGATTTGAGAAAATACTTTCTCAACAAAATCCTTATCGGCTGGCTTTCGTTTGCATGATAATTTTGCGTGGAAATAATGCAGGAATTCCGATTCCTGACGAGGGAAAAAATGTCAATGAAACGGAAACCGACAAATAACGTTAACGCGATTTTAACAGGAAATGAGCACCGCAATTGCGTACGAGAAACGGTTACATTGTTATAAATAAGCCTTGCCCAAAGTATGGTTCGATTGGATATTACCCTCGAAGCTGGAAATTACGGGAATATATTAAAGTGGAAAAAAATTCAATACTGAATCAATGAATTTGGTATTTTGAGTGTTGTTGTATATACAATTATATCTTATTGTTGTTTTATTATTATTATTATTATTTTTATTTTGTTTTAGTAGAAAAGAGATCATTTCAATACGGCCTATTTAAAAATCAAACCGCTTCTTTCTCGAAATACAGGATGTCAAACTTTAAAGAAAAAAATTTTTTTTTTAATTACACCAAAACGTTTTAGACGATTTTGGCAAAATTTGGTCCAGCTATTTTTTGCCAAAGCGTATTTATTTTGTGTATAACTGAACTAAACTAGATACGAAAAAAATAAAAGGACATAAATTTTTTTATTTTTGATTGCTTATCAAAAAAATTATTAATTACTCAAAACATCATTTTCGTACCATAACTATGGTCATTCGGATGTCGTTGAAAATAATTTTTTGCCAAAACGTGTTTATTTTGTGTATAACTGAACTAAACTAGATACGAAAAAAGTAAAAAGATAAAAAAAAAATATTTTTGAGTGCTTATCAAAAAAATTATTAATTGTTCAAAACATCATTTTCGTACTATAACCATGGTCATTCGGATGTCGTTGAAATTAATAACTTATAAACTTTGACATTTTTGATATTATCTTTCGTTGATATATATGCTCCTAAAATTTTTCTATCTATCAATTAAGAATTTTAGAAATTATCGATTTATCTGTCGAACTGGAAAATAGAGTCTGTTTTAAATTTTTTAAAAGTTTCATATATTCCATATTTTTATTTACATTTATTGAACAACTATAAGTAATGTTATCTCAACTTGTTTGTATATTCCAGTGCACAATCAAAACAACTTATTGTTTCTCATGGCAAACAAAGGTGTAAATACATTCAAATGTTAAATTTTGGTTTAATTATAATAACAAATTTATTTTTCCAAGTATTTTGCCGATTTTTAATCAAAACAAATTAACTGGCTGACTTATCGCCACAAGCGCCACGTAAAAAAGGTATTGCACGCAGCAAACCATATGAAATTCTGCAGGTTCCTTTTTCAAAGTTTCAACAATTACTATTTAATTACTATTAAGAAGTAGTCAAGACGATCAAGAAACAACCAAAGCGAAGCTAAGTTAAACAAGACGGAACTAGTGACCAGTTCACCTGTAAAATGGCGTGGTCATTATAGAACTTTGATACAGTTTTTTTTTATTTAAAAAATAGCTGGTTTCTAGAAGAACTATCTTTTAAAAAGACAGTTTCAATATTATCAAATAGCTGAAACTACCTGGCAATGAACGCCGCTGCCACTGTCCTTATTTTGGAATGTCTGAGTAGGGCAACGATTGTAAGTAAATTCCCCATTACGCCGACAAGCATTATGATAATTGTGAACGTCCCAGCGGCTGTCATCATTGGACGGGAGTACCTGAAAAATAGAAGCTATGTAAACAACAAAACTTTTAAAACAACGCAACGCGACAAAGTGGCATTAAACAAGGTTCATCGGCATGATGTGGTTTGTAGGTATTCCTGTCAATTGCAAAATACACGACATTGGGCTAGAAATGGTATAATTTATAACATCGATTGGCCGTTTTTCATATAATATAAATTAAAATAATGCAGATCCCTTCACAGTAAACACTTATCCCTACATTTCACTACTAAACTAAACATTCTCGTTGAAAACTGCGTAATTGTATTTCATTTTAAAAATGACAATCAAGTTTTGTAACCTAATTGATTTATTATTACCAATTTATGTTTTGGGACAAGAGGTAATGTTAAGAAAAAGACACGACCGTTAGCAAATAATTCTCTAAAATTCGCTATCTGAATGTCAGTTCATTTCTCCTACTGAAGTGGCAACATTTGGTATGCAGACGATATTGCTTAAATTAATGTGTGATGGGATGCTGTTCAAGAATATCACATTTCGGTTGCTTAAAAACATATTCGTAACCAACCATTACGCGATCGCGTTATTTACTTTTAAATTTTGAAAGTTTCGACCATCCATTTTATTATACATAACATTTTAAAATCACGAAAAACTAAGGAAACAACATATCTAGAGCAATATTATGAGGGAAACATTCCAGCGCAATCAATGAGTCATTGGTATAATTAGGTAATTAAGTTAAATTTTAAATTGCTGTTAGCAGAGTGCGAGATTAAATTAAAAAAACTTAATTTAGGAGGCAGCTGCCTAAATACAATCGGGTTTATCTGTAGGTATATCTGCAATTGCATTCACCGGAACACTTTATCATTTTTGGACATACCACACCCAATAATTGCCTGTATTTATATATTTAATATTGTGTTTTTGGTGTTTATAAATTAGAGAAAGAGAAGATTGCAAAAAAGTGTATTCCAGAAAAAAACAATCTTCAAACTATGGTCTCTGTGAACACATAAAAGGTCCTTTCCATTAATTCACTTATTTTGTTGTTCTCTTATTGGAACCAGTTTTGGGAATGAAGACAATCTTGAATCGTTTACAAATGCAAATCACTTTATTTTCAGTAATAAGAAAATTAGAACAGTGAAAACAGTAATCACTAAAAGTGAAAACTGTAATGGAAGGGGATGAAATTGCAGCAAAGTACATGATTTATTGCTAATCATCAAGCGTACCAACAAATAGTACCTACTGTCCAATTTTGAACTAGCAGCAGCGTTATCGAATATGGAAACATCGGCAAAAATAGTGCAAAAGCCTTGAACTGAGGTGGCTTTTACTTGATGAAAATCCATTTATCAAAATAAATAAGAACTAAAAGTTCAGATTTTCACGAAATTATATATTATGACATGACAATGTCATAATATATAATTTCGTGAAAATCTGAACTTTTAGTTCTTATTTAGTGCAGAAGCCGCCTAGAAAGTATTTCAAGGTCAAAATTTCAATGCATACAAAAGTTTGAAGTGAAGATATTCATAAAAAATCATGGTTTTATTGCTTTGAGAATTCAATAATGTAAATTAGAAACATATATAAGATATATTAAAATTTTAATACAATTTAAATTAATGAGTTTTTTAAAAAAATGGCTGGCTTATTTGGAATGTCAACAACTAAACTTGTTTAATTGCTAGTTTTCAACCTAAGGGCATAGACGGTAAACAATTCGACGAACCGTAATCTTTCGAAATTACTATGTAAATAAAAGAATTTACATATACAAGGACTAAATTCTATAGAAAGAAACTGTTAGTAAAGATTTGTTTGTCGAAAAATAATTATTAATATCTAGCAAAATTTATAAAATTACAAATATGAAAATGTTTGGCTGATAACTGACGAGAAGGTATCGGTACTGGTCTGCCGTCATTACCAATATTGACCGGAACATATTACTAAGAATATTTTTCAACATTTTAATATAATATGAGAAAATTTATTTTTTTTGTGAATACCATAGCGAAGATGCTGAACAACGCTTTGGATGGGGACTATTTTTGGAAGCAAGTAACTTTTTGGTGTCATTAATCACTTAAACAATTTATACGGGCATTTAACTTCTCGTAACTATTGCAACGATCATCACATAAATTGTTTATGGGACAATAAGTTTCGTGCGTTCTTGCAAGTGCAACGAATCATTGAGGACAGTGGTGTGCGGTCGCTGGAAGAATTCGAGCCAGAATTTCCAGACATTCGTTAATTTACAATTTCACTACGTGACAGATAAAGGCCACTTCATAACAGGATTTTTTTTTCAAATTTTATGTAAAAGATTAAACTAACAGTGTGGTCAGCCTATTACTACAGCTAAAACGAATTTAACAGTTAGCATAGAAGAACCACACACCAATAACGGCAGATTTTTGTTGCTTTACAACCTGAAATAACAAAAACATGTATACAGTGTGCGAGTGGTAACTTCTTCAAAGCTATTTTTCTCAAACTCGACAGATCTAAAGATCTAAGATCTAAAGATCTAAGATCTAAAGATCTAAGATCTAAAGATACACAGAAAATATGAGATTGTCCATCATGTGTTACAAGTTTGAAATGTTCGTATTTAATTATGAATTGATGCCCATATTACAACGCAAGAAGATCTACATGATATTGCCCTCGCTTAACCTTCATTACATTATTTTGATGACTTGGTCGCCACTGGTAAGCGAAATGGTTAATGGTTAAACCATTAAAAACACACACATAAAAATGCAAACTAGTAGTTTTTCTTTTAATTATAACAGGCATAAAAACGCACGAAGTGTGGCGCTGGCCGCTACAAAACAATAGGCAATAAAGAATATGACACAGAAGCCTTTGTAAAATAGTGTGTTGCGCAATTTGTTTTAACGATTGCTAGAACGATTAAAAAAGCGCAGTACGCTTGCTTGGACTAAGAAATAATGCAGGAACCTTAAAAATATTCATTCTTAAGTGTTACTAACAGCGGCAGCTATGTTGATGAGAATACCCAAAGACTCGACAAGCCGCATAATATGTAGTCAATATTAAAATCACAGTCTAAACAAACCAAAACCAAACAAACTAACCAACCTGCATAGAGTAGGTTTTACTATAAATGAATTACAAGTAACAAATATATTTATATTCAGATATTAATTGGATTAATCTGAACCATCAGTATTGCAAGGCAAGGCAATGCCAAAACTTTAGGATTTAATTTTTGAAATACTGGTTAATCAGTATGTCAAATTGAACTGGCACCGTTGCATTTCATTTTGTGGCCGTGTTTTATTTTATTATTATTTTATTTTGGTTAAAATTTGTTTTAATTTTATTGCCCAATAGTTATTTTTTTTTAGAGGTTTTTAATGCGTGCTTATTTAGGAAAACAACATTGTTTTTACGTAGGTGCATGGTCCATTTTAAAACAAACAACGCTTTGAAAGTGATACAAATTATAATTCATCAATTTAAAAAAATGAAATTGTTATAATATAAGGAAAAAGTAAGTATCCAATATATCGACATATTTAATAATTAATTATAAATAATTCTTAAAGGGCTTGACAATTTAATATCATTATAAATGAAGGATCTAAGAGTTTTCAATTTTATTCTACTAAAGTCGCATTATTGTTGTTATATCCTGAGGATATAACAACAATATAAACTAGTATTTTGGTTAGTTTAAAGTTCGACAATATTAGGATTATGCTCACATAATTTTAGTATAATCTCCATCTGTAAGACTGACTGTCCTCGAACATATACAATCTCATTTTAAAAATGTATTTATTTATTAACAGGAACTAACCTAACATTATCTAAGACCGTATTAAAGGTTGGATATCACAGACACTATTCGCATAAGGGTGAAAAAGAAGTAATTTAATCTTATTACTATGAAGAAGCAAACCATGAGCTGAAGATCACTGAGATATTATATTTAAATCTCTAATGATCCTGTGATAATCCTAAATGAATAGATGTCAGCATGTCAGCGTATTCATTAAGATCCATGGATAATCCATATTATAATAATAATATAACAATGAAATTCGAAGTTTTATCTAGAGTTAGGATGTTTGGTTTTTGTTAGTTAGGTTTTTTAATTAATTAGTTTAGAAGTAGTTTAATTAATCAGTAGTTTTAAATAGGCTACGTATACGGTCTCTGAATCGTTTTTTCTTTTCTTTCTCAGGGCATAGTTTCGGTATAGCATATTTGTCCCGTTGCCTTTAAATCATTTGGTAAGTTACTATAGGCTATAGAGTTTTTAATAACAAGATCCAAGAAAGACGTCTGGGATAGGTGATATGTTTACCTCATTCATTGGCTAATGCTAGCGTTGATATTTTCTAGAAATTAATTATTCATCAGTGATTCATATTTTATAGTCACAGCTTAGCCAGTGCAGGAATAGTGAAACAGAAAAATACGAAAAATTATCGCTTCTTTTCCGCGCGCCACTGGCACGCAACAACGAGGCGCTTAAATAATCACATGCGGCGCACATGTAGACTACAAAATCGAAATGCGTATACAATAAACCGCGCAAAGAAAAGCACTTACCGGACCAATTCCGAAAAATGCGATCGCTTCACCGCATCTTCCATGGTCTGTGCGAAAAACCCAACAGAGAAAAACAAAACACCCGCGCACACACACTGCACTTCGGGCACACTATTAGACAACTAAGCGCCTGGGGTGCGTCCCTATGCCCACAGGATGGTTAAAAATTAAAATTAATTAAAACTAATAAAAAGACCGCGAGCGAGGGAGCAGCGCCGGCCCGCTACATTATTTAAACGTCAACAAATGAATGAGTTAAAAAGTTGTCCGCGTAAACTACTGACGTATGCCGTCGTATTAATTCTTGCTGTGTGCTAGGTGTTAGTCACGTTAACTATGGAGTCATTTTGTTATTTATTTATTAATCACGCTTTAACTGGAAATCCTCGCGGTTTGGTACAGACCGCATGGTCGTGGTACCCGCAGGAGGGGGGGAACGACGAGGACGATAGTGTTCGCGGTGATTTACCGGCGAACAATTTTTCGATCGTTTTGGTTTGCGCACGCGAGAACAAATGATAAACCAACGTTGTGCTTTGCAATGCCACTTAGCAAACATTTTTGAGTACCGCTTGAATAAAAAACTGAGTGGTTTATTCTGCAAAGGAACAAAATTGATTTAGAGCTAAACTGTCTACAAGCAAAGTTTCAGATGTGATTTTTCAGCTCATATTTGATGGAATGAATAGCAAAATCGAAATTACTCGTGCATTCCATATCGTCAATCACGGGTTTCTTTGAAAACGCTGTATATTAGAAGCCAGGGCTTCTTATTGGGTTCAGTCCCAATTAAATTGCAGAACCCAGCGGGTTGTTGTCAGGGGTGCTGTGCTATCTTGTAATTATGCAATACATGATGTTATGTTTTATTATAATCTGAATAACATGGCGGGCTGACAACATTGGATTTTACGAAATCTATATATTCAACTCAAAGTTAGAGTACACCACTTAAACTACTTTTAGAGTGACAATATCTTCATGAATTAATTCATGTGGTCGGTTCACGACAAAATTTTACGAGTGTAACGCACCACTTTAGTATCAAATACTCATCAAACAAATTCACTAAATTTTGGGAAATTTACACACCAAATAGAACTCGTTCTACTTTTCGTCAAATGTTTGCCTCAATTCAGTAATATCAACTGTTGAAACTAATCAAAAAGCATATAGCGTTTTTTACAACTTTAAATAAAATTTTTGGTAACTTGTTTCTAGAAATTTGTCCTTCATAATACCAAAATATATCCTTTACAAACTTTTAGAAAGAATAATAGTGGACTTTGATATTCGAAAACTGTAGATAAGATTCGCCTATGGCTACCAATCTTATTTTTCTTGTGCATCTACATCTCGAATATCTGTGTTCATTTTCTATGTTTGGATTTTTAGACAACTCAGTATATCATCAAAAATTAAGGCGTTCAAGTTCCTTCTTAACACATTTGTTAATCAATTTTAACCCTCCTAACCACCTTCGCTACCAAAAATTGGTATTAATACATTCTAATTTTTTTTTAATGATTAAAAAATTACAAAGTATGTAACATATTTAATAATAAGTTATTCTTACAAGTGGGTATTGAAAATAAGATTTAGTTCGTTTCATATTACCTACGGATATGTCATTATTTTTGCTATAACAAATTTAATTTTGTTCCTGAGCTGCAAATTTTTATTTATTTACAAATTATGCTGTTAATACATGCTTATTTAAAAAATATATATTTCTATTGCGTTAAATTGCAAATTTTACAAAACAAACGAAACAAAACAATATATGTCCGATAAATGTGAAACACATTTTCATATGTACTATAATTCGATTCACAAAATGGCTTCAATTTTACAACTTTTTGAAAGTGATTGTCTACGTAATACCGACCGACCTAATACCTATGCGGAAAAAATAATAACGATGCTATATCAAAACGTTATTGTGAAAATAACTAAGCGACCTTTTCGAAATTTTTTTGTTTTGGCAGATTTACTCTAAATAAATGGCAAATCTGAAATTTCAAGTGGAATATTATATGGCACGACTGCTATTTTGTGTGTAGACACTATTTACAATAACCTCCACCTAACCAAATTTAAATAAAACCACTGAAAATTACAGGGTGTTAAAAAAAGAATTTATTTTATGTTTGACATTATAATAAAGTGATATTTATCGAATTTTAGAAACAAAACAGTTTATAAGACCTGTTCATAATATAAGCCAATTAATTGCCTCCTTCAATGTTGGAATGATGTTTAGGAACACCCGGTATAATATACAACGTTATGTATATGTGTCAGCAATAATATAAATAATAGAACTCAGGAGACCTTTTAATACCCTTTAAATTGTTTATTTACAGAATTTTTCTCGAAAATTGATTAGATTTAATGTCAAATGTTCTTACCACATTTAAACTTTCAGTACATTCTAGAGCCCAAACTAGCACAACCGACTTTAACATAGCGCATCTTATGAAAAAAGCGGTCCCTTCTAATCAGTAGTACAACATTAACATTTTATTCAGTTTCCTTTTTAAAAAATGTGTTATTTGTGATAAAAATCGATTTTCCGCAAAATTTAAATTTCCTACAAAAAAAAAGTGCACCTTGTAGTTTTATATTTTTTTGTTTGTTTACTAAGGCAAATGGGAAAATATAATAAACACTTATGACACATAAATCATTTTTTACCATTTACAACAGTAATTTTCAAAAAAAAAACTTAATAAACCAACCTACATTATTTTGGACATTTTCCCCATGTCCGTCATCATTACAGAGTTAAGTGTCTTTTCTATCAAATGCGAGGACCGCCACACATGGGTATTACTATTTTTCGACACCCCGAAAGTAATTATTTAATCACATGACGCTGAATGGAAATAACACTGGCACAATCGACTGTCTTCCTCGGTGACTCAGGCAGACTGATTTGATCTTCGAATAGTTTATTTATGTATGCTGTAAAATTTGTATTTCTACTGTCCCGCCCTACCTATTGCCCTTATCTTAAGGTGCTCAGTAAATGATTTCGGTTTGTTCAATTCTCAGAAAACTCAACTCAATATGTCGACAGTGGCGTACAACAGGTACAGTGTGTCCCATTTTTATTGGTTTTAAGACCAACTTCTCTTATTAATAAAGCTAGCTGTTGTTTTTTTACAAAATGAAAGGTGAACAAACAAAAATTCCATTACCATCGTCTATTTTTAGAGTCACAATGATTTTGAAAATTTTGCATTTTTTTGACATGTAGGATCCAGTAGCGCAGCCAGTTTTCTAAACATGTGTTTTTTAACAAACCATCAAAAATCAGTTATGATCAATTTAAGTCACATTCAATCTCAATGACTTTTGTTTAGCAGCTTGGAAATTATTAATGGCGCAATATCAGTTTTTATAAACTATTGAAAACTTTGAATATGTTGGTTTCGAAAGTTTGTGAAGCAATTTATTTCAAAGAAAGTAACAAGTAAAATGTACGAAATATCAGAAAACTGTGTGTTACTAATATGGCTTCAGAGTTAAGTAATAAATTATTTTCTTAAATTTTTTTAAGTATTATGATCAAAGTATAGTACCACAGCATATTTAATTCATATTTTCATAATACTGAGGAATACGAAAATTTGACAATTATGTTTGTACCAAATTAAATACGGAACGGAAGATTCAACAATTCTGCTTCTGCCGAAAACTCTTTTCCCCCAAGCGTCATCTTCAAATAAAAGTTAAAAGAAGTTTTAACCATAAAGACTCTAAATGACCTTCGTATGTCAAAAAAATAATTAGGTAATTTCAAATTGATTGAACAATTGATAATAATGATTCTAAAAATCGTTTGGTTAATACCTGCAACTAAAAAAAAATAATACAACGATTTGGGAAATATGTTTATTAGAATACTTTTTACTAATTAATCAAAAACCTTTTAGCTGATTTTGACAAAACTTTGCACGCTTGATTGTCACAAGAGCATTAAGTTTGCCCTTAAAATCTTTGCATTGACTTTTGAAGCACCCTGTAAACAACTTAAACAAAATTTTTAAAAATATATTAATGGGAGTGGTAGTACGATCTCGAATATTAAATACTGTAATATTTAAAGATTTAAATTATTTAAATTTCAACACCAACAACATGAAAATTTGAAAAAGATTTTCGAACATAATTTTATCCGGCCACCACCTGTTTTTATTATTATTAAATTAGGCAACGAATTTTAAGATTTTGTGTGAAAATGAATTGAAAATTTATATAAAAATGCAGGTATGAAGTTGCTTTCATTCTCAAAGTGTAAGTGGTAATTATATTAAATATGTGTAAAATATCTCAATCACCTAGCAAATATGTAGGAACTTACTATGGCAATTAAACTCATACTACAGTTTAGTAATTGAACCCTAAGTTAGTTCGATAGTGGTTAATAGCAAAAAAGTCTCCATCTCTTGCGTTTTGCCATGGTATTGGTAGGTTAATTTTTGATAAAAGATGGGATGAGTCAAACCTCTATTCTCTACACAGCATTAACAGGTCTGCCAGTGATCTCTTGTTAAGTTGTAGGAATTAAGGATATGTAACTTTTTGGGAGCGATCATAAATGACATGACTTTTTTTTGCGAATATTTGAAATGTGATCTACTTACGCCCCGCCCAGGTACGGTAACATTTCCAACACCACCACAGAACAACAACACCGTCAACTAACTTCTTCGTTCCTCTGACGCACTGACAAAACAGTTCAAAATCTACGCCACGTACGTCGAAATCATCGCAAATTAATGACAATTTCCTAATAATTCTTACGTGTAAACAATACGCATGTTCTAACAGCAAAGATAATTAATTAAGCAAACATCGTGAAGCAAAGAAAACACCTTTTCATTGGCAATTTTGTTATTGTGGGATACTTTTTCACGCCGACCGATAACGCCAACTAAATTGCGGCATTTCGAAGTGTATTATGAAAACGCGTATGACACGGCCAGTGTTTTTCAGATTCTTTACAAGGTTATTAGCTAGATATTTATAAAAATCATATATGAATTTAAGGAAACTAAAGTCAAATGAGTACGTCCATAAAAATTTGAAGAAGTTTGCTTGTAAGAAAATACAAACTTTACGTGGATGCTTAGACATTCGTTAGCAGTAACCACCTTTTCACCGATTCGTATGGACGTCTTATTATTACACAATTCAAAGTATTTGCGATAATCATACCCAAACACAGCGTAACTGGAATTTTTCTCACCATCAAAGTCAGCAAAATATTTTTGCCACTAACACATAATTTTCTCTGACGCAGATAATTAGTG